GAACGCACCTGGCGCGTTGCGTTTTGAATTTAGAACTATAAAATTCTAACTCCCTGGTAGTGTTGCGCATGCCTACGTGAGGATTGTGAACGTTCAACCAATTAAACGATAAGAGGCACTGGATTTTTAGGAGTCCACATTTTATTGTGACACTGGAAAAGTGTTTAAGACCAGCTAGCCATGTCTTTATCATCCGTTTAATACCGGCCACGTGACGGGCTCTCGACCAATAGGAATGGCTAAACTGTCTGAGGTATTTATGAATGCGTGATAATGACCGGGTGTGGGGGTGACCGCTGTTAATGGACCGAGACGCAGTCGAGGTCCATTAACAGCGGTCACTCCCAAACCCGGTCATTATCACGCAGTGAAGACCGGATCCTCACACTGTTATTCCCATTAATAAATACCTTTTTAACGAAATAAACAGTTAAAATGCTACAATTTTGTGACTTTCTTTCCGCGATATTTCCAGACTTTTTTGTGTTCATGTTCGTGGGCCATATTTTAACTTATGCATGGTACCCTGTCTCTTCGATAAGCGTTGTTATATACACCAACAGCCGGGCCCAGGCTGTGCTGAACAGGGGGTCAGACAAGTCGACCGTTGAGACAACTCGACTCGGGACGAGTCGACCGTTGATACAACTCGACCGTTGAGACAACTCGAACGTATGTGCGATAAATGGAAAGACAAGTCGACCGTTGAGACAAGTCGCCTCGCATGTTTTTGGGCCTAGTTTTGGGGATAGTACCGGGAATTTTTGACGGCAGCTGATTTTTTTTGTTGCATATAACAGAGCCGATATAGCGCAGCGTGATTGTCCGTGCACATCGTTCGTTTTTTCCGGGCCTGTGCCCCCACTTGCCGGTCAACTTGTCCGTACCGTGCACGGTGACATCGTTTTTGACGGGCCTGTGCGCCCACTTGCCGCGCCGGTCGACGTGCCCGCGTGCTGGGCTGGGCCCAGTCCTTGCTGGACAACGTCTTCATTGCGTACGCGTACGACGTCCAGGGTTTGGACTTCTGCTGCCGTAGCGAAACAAAATATTTACAACAATGTTTTCATATTTTTACCTGATGGAGGAAGCTGAAATTTCGTTTACACACTCCTCGTGTCCAGAATTACAAAGATGCTTGGTTTAGGAGAGGTAAATATGTCGTTGGGCAAAGTGTTTAAAGAAAATAAATCGTAGATCTACGCTTTCGTCGTAAACGTCCTCAGTATATCAGATACTGCACTGCTGTATGTATGTACATGTACGATGTCCAGTCGTTTTTAAACTTCCTTACGCGAGCGCACATCCCTAGCAACTGTGTTGCGTGCGCGCGCGTCAGTCTCACGCGATGGGGTTGAGCGCAAGTGCAGTGCTCTATTGTTACAAGCTACCGCAGGACTGTTACTATATTTTGACCAATCATTGGCTTGCATGGGGCTGAACGGGGCTTGATCAATGCTGGTTCAGGGGCCATTTATTCGCTTGATCTTTGAAGCCGGTCCATTATGACCGTTAATGCCCGGCCACGTGATCGAGTTTCGACCAATCAGAAACCATCAACTCTCCAAGGTATTTATTAATATGCTTTCATTGTTGATAAATTAAAGCAATAAATACCTTGGAGAGTTGATGGTTTCTGATTGGTCGAGACTAGATCACGTGGCCGGGCATTAACGGTGATAATGACCGGCTTCAAAGAACAAGCGAAAAAATGGCCCCTGAACCAGCATTGATCCAGCCCCATCCGGTTCGTTAGTGTGACGTCACCTCTAGCACTTTCTGCATGATTGGAACCGGAAGTTAACGCAGCTCGAGCGTTTGTAGCCAATGGGCGCCAGTAATCAGTGCTGCGCGCGTGTGTATGACGTTTTCGCTAACGAACCGGATGGAAGGCAATGATTGGCCAAATTTACAACAATCATACGGCAGCTTGTAACAATACAGCACTGCACATGCGCTCAACCACCTTCGCGTGAGACTGACGCGCGCGCACGCAACACACGTGCTATGGGTGTGCGCGCGAAGTTTTAAAACGACTGGACATCGTACATGTACATACAGCAGTGCAGTATCTGATATATTGAGGATGTTTACGACGAAAGCGTAGATCTACGATTTATTTTCTTTAAGCACTTCGCCCAACGACATACATGTATTTACCTTTCCTAAACCAAGCATCTTTGTAATTCTGGACACGAGGAGTGTGTAAACGAAATTTCAGCTTCCTCCATCAGGTAAAAATATGAAAACATTGTTGTAAATATTTTGTTTCGCTACGGCAGCAGAAGTCCAAACCCTGGACGTCGTACGCGTACGCGTACGCAATGAAGACGTTGTCCAGCAATGTCCAGCACAGCCTGGGCCCGGCTGTTGGTGTATATAACAACGCTTATCGAAGAGACAGGGTACCACGCATAAGTTAAAATATGGCCCATGAACATGAACACAAAAAAGTCTGGAAATATCGCCGAAAGAAAGTCACAAAATTGGAGCATTTTAACTGTTTATTTCGTTAAAAAGGTATTTATTAATGGGAATAACAGTGTGAGGAGCCGGTCTTCACTGCGTGATAATGACCGGGTTTGGGGGTGACCGCTGTTAATGGACCGAGACCCTTAGTAACTATCCAAAAATGGCTACTATACCCGAAAATTGCGCGCATTTACCTTGTCTCCAGATATAGTCTTGCCAAACCTCAGTATTGATGGGCTTCAAATTCACCAAGATGCTTACTGGCACAGTTACCCTATGAAAACCTCATGGAAAATCATGTGAACAGTGATAACATTGTGATATTTAGCTCAGCTCAACAAAAACGGGGAAAAACTAGGTGGCTGTCTGTAAACTGGGCTTAAATTAGGCGAAAGGGTCGCCTAACGTGGGAGACTTGAATAAGTTCAAGGAACACCCCCCCCCCCCAAAAAAAAAAAACAGTTGTTTGCAATAATTATGTCAATGTCAAAGTGTTTTTTTTCCCATTTATTTTCTTTGCAATAATTTTGGGGATTTTCTTGACCTTTTTCAAGTCTCCCCCGTTAGGCAACCCTTTACTAATTAGGCCAATTAACACGAAACACCTCGTTTTCCCGTTTTTGTTTGCTGGGCTAAATATCACATTCAACATTGTCACTGTTCACATGATTTTCCCATGAGGTTTTAATAGGGTAACTGTGCCAGTAAGCAACTTGGTGAATTTGAAGCTCACCAATATTGTGGTTTAGCAAGACTATTTGCAGATATCTGGAGACAAAGTAAAAATGCGCGCAACTTTTGGGCATAATAGGAGCCATTTTGGATCGTTACTATATCCTCATAATATTATTCAGTCGCTTATATGCGTTAGAAACTGTTATTGAAGCAAGGATGTGTAAGTAGGATCACCAAAAATAAAATTTTCAAAAAAAAAATTAAAATAAAATAAAAGATACACCCAAATAAGGGCAAACTATATTACAAGGCAGGTATTAAAGATTTATGCAAATTACGTATATTGAGGGTCAAATTAACAGTGGCATCCACCCACATCTTGTTTGTTATGGTTTAAAGAATTGATCTAGCATGGACGCCAGCTAATGCCAAAAAAATGCAGTGAAATTATTCTCGAGAACTTTTCCACATTTGGCTGGTGTACTATATCCAGTGCACTTCAAGTTAAATTTCAAATTGTACATTGTGGTGTTGTAGACTACTTTCCTCTTTACCTCCCCCTCCCCTTTTCCTTTGGCTATAATATTGGTACTAAAATCCCACCCTCGGATTCCGAAGATGTTTACGTTTTCTATTTTTGTCTTTCCTTGCAAATGAAAAGAATGGAGCCAATACAAAAAGGGATTTGTAAAAACGTTGCAACCCTCTTCTCGACAATGTCGACCTCGCACAGCATTTTCAGAACTACTCTTTTGTCCCAAATTACACACTGCAACAATGCATGTTTACGTCTTTGCCTGTACGTGTTGCCCCTCGGGTATAAACTCGGTTTTCCTTTGACTATCACAGTGGCGGGTCTACGAGGCCGGGGTGGCCAGCAATTCGTCGCAGAGCTGACATACCGTACGATGAATAAGCGAAAACCCTGTTTCGAGTAATTTGCGTTTGAAGTTGGACATTTTTCTGGGCGTCGTATTTTACCCCAAATGTTTCGATAACCCTTTTAATTAATTAACATTCGATAAAATAGGAAACGTAGTATCCATCAGGTCACTTATTTAATCAGAAAAGTTGTGCGAAACGTTTTTATTTGATCGTAAAAGTATTCGTCAGTTTGTCAAATTACAAAATCTCCAATAGCCGGATGATCTTCACACTGTTTTGTATGCTATTCGTCAGTTTGTCGGATCGCGCGCGCACGCGCGCACCAATCCGACAAACTGACGAATAACATTTGTTGGTACTTTCAAACGCACACCTTACATAAGCTGGTTACCAGCGAAATTTCGTATTCGTCACTATGTCAAATTATGGATTTGTTTTTGTGACTGATTCGCCAGGTGGGGGGGGGGGGGGCTCCGAGTCTCAAAATCCAGACAAGAATTAAGAATTTTGGCATAAATACTTGGAGCAACCTTTACCAACCCTAAAAATAACGAAATCTCGAAATCGCCAAAATGGTCGATTCTGCGACGAATCATCTACACAGTCACAGAGGTAATTAGGATACCTTCATCGCATGCCTAAAATCGAAAACTTGATCCCATGGTCGATTTGACATCTCTTCGAACATTATTTTTAACTTTGTCAAACATTATCAGATTTTGACTTTTGATGTCTCACTTTAAAGTGGGAAAGGCGTATCTTTCATGCCATACCTATATTATCTATATTGGTTATACATTCTACGTCTGGCATTCCGTTATACATGTATTTTGTTTGCATTTTTTATACACACTGTACAATGAAATGAATTTTGAAAACTCCCATTTTCTTGCATCCGATTAATTAGGTTAAAAAAGAACACTTATAGCAAATGACTGGTTCAGACATCGAAGATAATGAAGACTAAGTCCATGTTTCCTGCTGTATGTTTTATTTAATGTTAGTTGACCGAAAGCCCCTTTAATACAAAATCAAGTGTTAATCATTTCACTTCTTGGTTTGTCTTGTTCACACATCGACATTAGCAGTAAAATGAAATTAATTTTAAACCAGATGTTTAAACAAAAACCGATTATGTCAATATAATGCCAGTCTTAAACAAAATTCTCACAAATAAGGCTTAAGTTTAACAACAGTGACTCTTTTGGTCAAACTCTCTGTTAGGTTTCTGAGAAAAATGAAATGTGCCTATTACTAACTCGGAATAAGCCGTTCGCAGTTTGAATTGAGCAATGGAGTATAACAACATGCGAGTTCGGTACAGTGCGGTGCAGAACCCCAGACGATGGATCCTCCCCCGTGATGCCTCCCTCCGTTTGGAGGGGTAACGATGCATCAGAGTTGCTGACTCGAGTCATGTGACTTGGACTCGAGTCGGACTCGAGTCGCTATTTTTGTGACTTGTGACTTGACTTGTAAATACCAGCTTTGACTTGTGACTTGACGTGGACTCGCAAACAATGACTTGTGACTTGACTTGGGATTGCAAAAAATGACTTGTTTATACCAACCCAAGTCAGACGCTAAATCCAGTAAAATGAATAGTTCCCACTAGTTTCAAAAGTTTTCAAAAAGACTGTCACAACAAACTACACAGTTTTCAATGACCAAGTCTCTTGCTTAATGTAATGGTTGATCAAACTTTGAAAGGAACCTTTCATGAAAAGAAAGCAGCCCTTTGTCAATTGCATGTAAAATACCGGATAGCCTAACCCATTGGTAGGCGTTTAGTATACATGAAAATTGAACAATAAAGTGTTAGTATACTACATGTAATCGAGTGAGTGAAGTCTTTTTTTCATGTCATCTCAACATTTATTTCTACAGTGTTAAGTAAATTTATTAAAGTATACAAAGGGCTAATATCCGACAGATATGTGATAAACTACAAGAATAGTATTAGCAACACATTGAAAAAGGGGAATTAAGGAGGCATGTTCAAAATAACTCGTAAGTTGACGCCAGGTTCTTTTAGCTTATTACAGCTGGACAAAATAATGTGCAACTTGACGTGTTCTTGGACAAAGATACTTGTGACTTGACTTGTGTTTAGACCAAATAACTTGTTGTTTGACTTGTGACTGGACCTAATGACTTGTGACTTGACTTGTGACTGGACCTAATGACTTGTGACTTGACTTGTGACTGGACCTAATGACTTGTGACTTGACTTGGACTTGCAAACAATGACTTGTGACTTGACTTGGACTTGCAAAAAATGACTTGCTGCCACCTCTGCGATGCATCCAGCAATGGCTGGTCTTTGTTTAATTCTGTCTATGTGTGGACTCATGTGATAGCACTTACTCACGTCTAGGATATCATTATATTCTTCTGAAAAAAAAACAGTACCTTTGTGATAGTCAAATAACTGTTACAACAAGTCAGACCGAAGCCAGTATACTTTTGAGCTACAATCTTCTACGTTAACATGACGTTTATAGGATCACAGAAATGTGGCTTGATTGCGCATGACTCGACGAAGCCTTCATCAAGCCAAATCACAATTTACGGAATCTTCGCAGCTTCTGGATATGCTTCTGCATCTCTTCAGTGGGCTCCTTCAAAGCATTACCCTGGAGAGAAAAAAGGAAACAATATATAAAAGCCAAGAATTTGTCCCATGTTGGTAAATTTTCTTCCTGCAATTATGTAACCAAAATGTAGTGACTTTAATAGTCAATTTCGAATTTGAGGAGAGAAACCACAACATATTAATAAAGTGGTTGGAAAAAAAATGTTGCAACCTGACGCCGCTTCCGCGATTGTGTACAAAGTCAATGGAGAGTCAATAAAATGTTCCAAGTATTTCCTAAGAAAATTGACAGTGTTCCTCAGTCCCAGATTCATGTCTTATCATTAATTCGCAATGAATGACCTTCATTGAGATGATATATGAAGCAAAAGGGGCATCAGGTTGCAACGTTTTTCCTAATCGGAGTTGGGCTTACAAAAATCATTGCTTTAAGTTTTCCAATGCCTGTCTCTGAATAGTTGCAGCTTCAAGCAAAAGAAAAACAAAACTCATGTTGAAATTCAAAAAGACATTAGTTCAACGCTTCAATGTTGTAACCGTAACTTCCAGGGCATTTTGCTAGGATAAAAACCTAATCCTACAAAATCCTCAATTTTGCAAAAAGGATTTTGAAGGGTTTGAGTTTTAGAGTTTTGAATGTGAGCAGTAGGAATGCACAAAGCACATCCTTCATTCATTAACATATTCAGTTGTTTCTGTAACTGATTTGCATTGAATTTGCATTAAATATGGTATCGGACTGAATAAGTGAAAGAGAGGCCCAACTCGGAGGTCTCACCTGTTGGCACTCTTCGGGGACTTTGAAGTACTTGTCTCGGTCACAGATACCAAGTTCGAAATTGAAGAGTCGATTATCGAGGAACTCAGTTTGCTGATCTTAAAAAGAACATCAAAGAAATCTCTTAAAAACAATATCTCTCAAAAACCAACTCTGTTTTAGCTCATTCGTTATTATTTTGCTAAACTGTTCATTTTAACATGTACATGTAGTTTAAGCTTATTTTAAGTTTTATAAACTTTGTGATCTCGTATAAATTGAGCAGTTTGGGTTTTTTCAGGTTTCTTCCTTTCTTTGCTTTTTCAAACCACAAGTAGAGCCTTGCTCCCACTGTGTCCACCATATCCCTAAAAGCTGATCGTGCACCTATTTTCTTCTCAACACAAATCGAGGTACATCTTTCACTCACACACACTAAGACACACACTAAGCTCGTTTTTACCATACTCATGAGGACCTGATCCTTTCCTTCTATTGTTCCCTTTTGTTTTGTACTTAACTTTTCTCGACAGCTCCCACAAGGTATGTACACGAAATTCTCCCGAGGACCTCGGGCCCATTGAAATCGCACACACCCTATTGTCTTTCAAGTTTTCAGTCTGAATGGACAACCAAACCCATGCATGTATACAAGCAAACAAACTACTGTGTGGACTTCCGAACAAAAGATGTACACATAAACCAGGTTTCAGACACGATGTTTGGACTTCTTGCCCACACAGGTTTTCCCCTCCCTGGAAAACAGGTTTAGAGGCATGTTGGGGTTATTTGACGCAAAATGAAGAGAAACATTCAAGGGAATCATAGGGGGAAAATGGGTTGAACATATTCACAGTTTGAGTAAATGAGTTGGACAGTGCGAGTAAACGGGGTTTTTTTTTCAACATGTCTATGTGTGAACCTTTGTAAACACCGGCAATTGAGGACCCCCTATTGTCCCTAATCCTCATTCCTTTGTTTGTAAACAAGCTTCCATTGAGTTTGTACACGTATTTCGATCGTAGACGTTTGGTCAATCGTAGACCATCTGTTATACTGCCCTAACCATTTTGTCCCTGCTCCACGATTGCCGGTGTTTACACACGCACACACACATGTTTACGTTACATACCAAGTGTGGACGTTCGATTGTTTCGTGTAGTTAAGAAAAACCTCTGAAAAAAAAATCATTTTTCTCTTACTGTGAAAACTATTTTAACCCAATTTGTTTTCTATGATTCCCTTTAGTGTTTCCCTTCATTTTGCAACTGATAAACCTTACCCAAAAATGCCTCTAAACCTGTTTTCCAGAAATGGGGAAACACTGTGTGAACTTGCCCAAGTCCACACAACGTCGCCTCTACCTGGTTTATGTGGACTTCTTTTGTTCAGAAGTCCACACAGTAAATGTAATGCCCACCCACGTCCATCCCCTTCGGATTCTCACCAGTTTCTGGGTCGAAAAAACGGCGTTCGATTGACACTGGTACGCAATCTCCGTGAGTCACAGTCTTCACGGTGTGTACACCTAAGCTCGTCTCGAGCCAGCTATCCGTAACAAGATCACGATCGCCTATGACTGCCTCTCCTTCGTATTTGGCCGAGTCTATCCCACAAAACAATTCGAAAGAGAAAAAAAAAGAAAATGCAAGGAGACCTGGTCACGAAATAAGGGACAAGGGGCAGGCATACGTTAAAAAGGAGTCAAGAAAGTACTCGTATCAGAATTAAAAAGCAGACAAAACGAAATCGTGGTAATTATTTGCTATCAGCAGATCCAGTAAAGGCACAATTTACCCATTGGAGCTCACAATGCACTGACAAAACTTCTTGTCAATGTCATGGCCTCACCCATTAAAGGGTCTGTACAAAAATTGCATCAAGTGGTTTTGAACTTGTTGTCAATTAGACATCCAAAAGTGAACCTGAGAGTTCCATAGAGCACCCAAAAATGCATAATTATGCCCCCCCCCCCCCACAAACCCACTGACGGTAGCCTCTATATCGTACATGGAATGAAATACTGCTCCGGGAACCCTTTTCCTTCGACTTCAATTGCAATGCACACCACTTCATCTCCGCCCGTGTATATTTCATACCGTACACCCTACAAAGACAAAAAAAGTCATGTCCAATGATCAAAAGTAGAAAAAAAACACGTAACTGTTCTTCATAGAGAAGCTTGGTTCTGTTTGCTTTGTGTGCGCCAGTTGCCCATGCAAATCAGACGGCAGACAACAATGAAGTAACATGGAGCCGGATATAATAACCCGATTATTTTCAAGCCGCTTTCAGCAACATAATCAAGAAATCATTGAAAGCAATGGGATAGGCTATATTAAAACACGAGGATCGTACAAGTACTTCTACCCCAAGAATCCCTACCTTTAGGACCCCGTTCCAATATAATGTTAAAAGACTCACCAACACAGCAGACACTCAAATTCAAAAGTGACATTCTGATATTTCTTGACACATCTGAACAGTTGGCAATGATGCACCTGCTTGAATATCGATAAGTTTAATTTTGTGGAAAGAGGGCAGGGCTTTGATTTATGGGGAAATTACGGGGTAAAAAAAGAGGACGATGGCAAACAGAAAACAGATTCAAAAACCAAGATGGCAAACTGCAAAAAAAAGGTAGGAAAGTCGCATTTTCTTTAAAAGCACTTTCAAAATTACAACTAGGCCCAACATGAGTTTATCTGAAGGAAAAAGACGGCGGTAATCCTTGTCTTTAGGACACCTGTATGTTTTTAGGAGTTCTGTTCGAAACTGACTTTTGCAGATGACTGTTCAGTATCAAAGGCTAAATCAGTTTTCTTTTATCTTCAGATAAACTCATGTTTGTTCCAGGTTTGAGAGCACTTTCAAAGAACATGCGACTTTCCTACCTTTTCGTGCAGTCAGACGTGAGACGTTTTTGAGCTTATTTTCTGGTTGTCGTCGTCGTTTACCCCTTAATTTCCCTCAAAAATCAAAGCCCTGCCCTCTTTTCTCAAAATTAAACCTGCTGATATTCAAGGTGTCATTACCAACTGTTACAAAGATGTGTCACGAAATATCAGAATGTCACTTTTGAGTGTCATTTAGTCAGTAGTTTTGGCAAGTCTTTTAACCTCGTACAGGAACGGGGTCCTTAATTAAGGCCATGGGCGTCGCCAGGATTTTTTCTAGAGGGGGGCAAAACATATTTTTCCCCAAAAGTTCTTGTTTTTCTCAACATATTCTCGATTTATCAGTTTTAGAGGGGGGCAGGGATATTTTGCCCCACTAACCATTAAATTAAAACCACTATGATTTTTTTTGCTTTTCCATGGGGGGGGCAAGCGCCCCCCTTGCCCCCCCCCCCCCCCTCGCGACGCCCATGATGAAGGCAAGGGTTACCGAGACTGCATTAGCCTGCAAAAAGTCACTTTGGTACTGGACAGTCATCTGCCCAAGTTTTGAACCGAACTCGTAAAAAATGGAGATGTCCTAAAGATCAGAATTACCCCTAGGACATACCCACCTTTTTGTAGTCTTCAATCACTTTGAAAGAGTACTCAGTTCCATTGAAGAAATCCTCAAATATCTTCGCTGCATATTTCTTGGATATGTCGTCATACGCTCCCTCGAAATTAAGGTACTCGAGCAGAAGGCTGCCCTCTTCCACCGAAGTCAACATGTCGACTTTGTTATTAAAACAAAATGAAAATACGTTCAAGTATGGCCTTTAAAATAAACCAAACGGTTCGTGAATTAGCATGGTCGTCTACCAGTACCACTTGGTATAAACATTCTGTATCCAGTCACCCACCACTTGTTTCTCCCCCCCCCCCCCCCAAAAAAAATGTGAAGTGCCATAAGTTTACGTCCTATATCGTCATTTTCTAGACTCCTCACCCTCTGCTCAATTTGGAAAGAATGTTGCAACCTGACGCTACTTCAGCGGTTGTGTACAATGATCAAAGTCTATGGGGGAGTCAGAAAAGTTTCTCTAAGTATTTCCTAACAAAATTGGAAATATTTCTCAGTCCAAGATTCACGTCTTATCATTACTTTTGCAATGACTGACCTTCATTGAAACGATAATTATATAAAGAAATAAACAGCGTCAGGTTGCAACATTCTTTCCCTTAAATATGGCTCCCAAGGGTGGATCCAGGGGGGGCCAAAGGGGGCATGGCCCCCCCCCCCAAACGAAACCATTTTTTTTTTTTATGTGACATCGCAATAAAGGCAGGCAATGAGTACACCACCATCTTTTCCTCAAAAAAACATTGGTTAAAGTGGTCACAAATTGCCTCAGATCGCACCACAGAGCATCTAGAATCCAAAAAATTTTCGGGGCCCTTAAGCGGGCCCCGAACCCCACGCCGTAATTTTGTTGACCCACTTTTTGGGGGGACCAAAACATTTTTTGGCCCCCCAAAAAATTGTGTTTTCTGGATCCGCCCTTGATGGCTCCCTATTTTGTTCTCTCGTAAGTTGGTGGGTTACTTAACGAACATCCATGAGAATCAAACCGGAAGAGAGGAACTGTCAATATTAAGCACACCAGCCTTCCCCGCCCGACTACAATTGCGAGTTTCCGTTGAAAGTCTATTTGATATAATTTTTAAGGCTCCCGTTTGAAGTTAGACTAATAAATATTGAATAAATGAAATATTCATGATAAATTAAATATGCATGATGAGGTATCGCTTCCTTATTGGCTTGTGCGTTGACATGGGCACCGCAGACTTCCAGACTCTTAACTGTGGCTGCCTATTATTATTACTATTATTATTATCATTATTATTATTAAACAAAACGAATCAGGTAGAGTGGGAAAAGTGCAAGCACTATAAGTTGCTTAACTGAGCAACCCCCACACACCTGAAGCGTCGACGAAGAAAACAAAACCAAGAGACAATAAAAAAAAAACGAGAAAAAAAGGACAAGTATGATCGACAAAAAACTGAACAATAACGAGCAACACTAGACAAAAAATAAATGGACCTTAGATACTTGTTGGCTATTGACTTAAAAAGTATGCAAACTGCCTGCTGTATAATTATACACGATCGGCAGTCCGACCGATGTGTGTGCCCAAAATATGCTCTTGAAGGCGAGTTGGAGAGTTTTGTGAGAAAGATTCCCATACACCCTGTGCACAGACCCCATGAGACTAGTCTAAACAATTCTAAAAAATTTCTCATTTAATTCCTTTAATATTTTCCCTGTCAAGTTTGACTTTTTAGGACATATCACTTTCTGATGGCTGATAGGTCACTGAAGGGAAAACTTAGTGATGGCCAGATATGGAGATCTTTACGTTTTGTGTTTGGCGGCAAATCATGTGGTGGCCGGAAACGGAACTAAGTTTTTTTTAATGGGAAAGAAAACATCAATTGTTTCATCATAATTGTATCATCTCTCTAAAAGTCAGTCATTGCAAAAAGAATGGATAGATTCCCATATCTGGCCATCACTAATTTTACCCCAGACTGGGACCTTAAGTGCTCAAAACGATGCAAAAGAAGATCAGGCCCACTTTACTCATTCTTTAGCCAGCAAATTTCTCCAAAACTTTCATTGGGCAAAAAAAAGGTCCTCAGATTTCACCAAACAAGTTTGAAGACTCACTTCAATTTTCAAAGGAGACTTTTCTTCAATATTTTCTTCATACACAGTATTGAGAGTCCCAAATTTTCGGACTAATGTTTCCCCTCGGTGACCTATCAGCCATCAGAAAGTGATAATATGTCCAAAAAAGTCAAATTTAGCATGGAAAATATTGAACTATTTACTGCGAAAACACTTTTAGAAATTTTCAGACGAGGTTTATAGGGTTTGTGCACAGGGCTAGGGTAACAAGTGATGACCAGATATGGAAATCTTTCCCCCAAAACGTTGAAAGACATGAAACTGGGACTGGGAAACATTTTCAATTTTGTTAGGAATTACGGAAAAATTCCCATATCTGGCCATCACTTGTCACCCTGTGCACAAACCCTATGGGACTGGTCTGAAAATTTGTGTTTTCTTAGTAAAAACTTCAATATTTTCCATGCTAAATTTTACTTTTTATGACATATTATCAATTTCTGATGGCTGAAGGTCACTGAAGGGAAAAATTAGTGATGGCCAGATATGGGAATCTTTCCTTTTTTTAAACCTTTATTAAAATCAAATTCAGACTATTTTGTTACGTCTTGCCTACCTTCATCGAAAGTGAAGTAGGGAGGAGGTTCACAAGGCACATGGTGTTCATGGTCTTCGGTGCTACCAACTCGTTTGGGCAGGCTTCTGAACACATCATAGGCCCTAGGCATGGCGGGCTTGGTCACGGCCACTGCTCCAGCCATCACGACCATGGTGCACACAAGGAAACTGGACAACATCTTGCTGGAAGGACTGTCTCCGAAGTTCTCCGCAAATAATTCTTTTAGACAACTTCGTCGCTCGTGGATAATCTTATACGTCTTCACTGGTCAATGACTACCTTCCTGGTTTATTAAAATGGCTTATCCTTGTCGGCTGTTCTCCTTATTGTGAAACCTCCCGGTTCATGTTTTATGCAAATTTCCAGTCTTCTTCGTTTTGAACGGACGTAGGACCACAGCGACGTAAGGAATTCTCGCCGAATCAGAAGCTCTACACGCTATACGCTCCACTCAACTGTGACCGCTGCTTTATTTGAACATCATAAATATTCATGGTATAAAAGAGTTCTTGCAAGAGAGGCATGCATGCGCACTGTTATATAAAACCCCAGAAACGTATCCCGCTATTGATGTCGGGGGGGGGGGGGGGGACCGCACATCCTCGTCGGATATGCAGACATGTTTTTTTCTCCGGACACTTGGCCTCCGCAAACTCAAAATCAGCAGTTTGCATCATACAGGTTAGGAATTGAGCGCGCAACAGAACGTCATTTGAATCACGGTCCGTATTTGATTACAGGTTGTGTTGCCCAGCGGTCAAGACAATCCAGTTTAGTTTTATCCGAGAAAAATAGGCATTTCGCATTTTAGGAGTGAAACTTTGATCCACAATTTTCTTTAAATTCATTGTTTAGCTATATATTTTCCTTTATTTGTGAGTAAAATTGTCAAAGTGGCGGAGTGAAGAAAAATTATGCCATTAAAAACAAAAGCAAAACAAAAGGAACATTTAGAAGAAAAAAAAGAAATTAACACCGAAAAACAAAACAGAAGAGGAAAGAAATTAAAAGAATATGAAAATAACCCCATCAACTATGAGCAATATATTTCAAAGCGATCCTCACGTTGGCTTCTGTGTTTTTATGCTTTTCACTAATTTTGTTTTTGAAAGCTGGTGCTTTGTGAACTGACCGAGCAGCTGTGAGAATGTAATATACAATTTGCCGAGGGTGGGGAGACGGGAGTCAGACGTGGTTTATGGCCAAACCAAATTCATTTGATTGTGGACAACAGACCTGGACGCGGCGTTTACATTCCAATGAGATTTGGGTTGGTCATTATAGAAAACACCGTCCGTTGATATTGGGTGTGGCGTTCACATTCAAATGCGATTTAGGTAGGTCACAGAAAGCACCGTCTGATGATATTCGGATGTGATGTGCACAATTAAATGACATTTGGGTTGGTCATATGAAACAGTGTCTGACAATACTCGGATGTGGTGTTCACATTCAAATGAGATGTAGGTTGGTCATAGAAAGCGTCGTCTGATCACGGATCCTACACACAAAGATTAACGACTTGGCCCAACTCCTGGTCAGACGCGTGATAACGGTCAGTACTGGTGGCAAATACCATGAATACTTTTCAACAAAGACCACTGCGCGCGGTGGCTTTCAGATTTTCAAGGCTCTTCGCCCGATCTGGGCGCGAAGTCTGTCAAGCCAGCGAATTATATTTTTGAATATTCATGAGTCTACGTTTTTTGTCTTTATTATTAAATTTTGATAAGTGATAACTACATAACCATGGTAATGCCGAGCACAATATCTTTAGCTTTAAGATGGACAATGAAATGTCGCTTTTGTTTCATCGGTTCGGCATCCTATCTCTCTAAAGCCCGGTTCATACTCGGCGTGAAAGCGAAAGCGAACGCGAATTTGTGACGTCATGGCAAGTATTCGCAGTGCGAATTCGTAAAAGTTGAACACATTTTAACTCGGGCGAATTTCGCAGCGAATGTTTCATGACGTCAAATTCGCTTCGCATTCGCTTTCGCATGAAGTATGAACCGGGCTTAAAACTTTAAAAAACGAAATTTGGGCAAACGGTGTTCTCTTCGAAATTTGACGTTTATTTCCCGGGTAAATACTTCATCTATGACGACAAAAACTGCAAAATACCATCTGTTATATCCTGCAGTATTTATTTTTTAAATAATTTGGAACAAGTATATCTTAAATAAGAAGTAGTTTTACTTACAGTTTTATGAATATTTCCGTTTTAGATGTCGTGCAAAAACCCAACACAATGACACATCTGGAATATTCGCGATTACGCGGGTATTAGTGCCCGTTATCACGCGTCTAACCAATTAAGGCAAGTCCACTGAGTGCATTTTGTACTAGAGCTCAGAACAGTCATTTATCCTGGTGTCTATAGGATCCGTGGTCTGATGAATATTGTGATATGGCATTCACAATTGTATATTTTTCCCTTTACTTTATTTTACTTTATGATTTTTCGATTGATTGTTTCATATTGTTTTTCGTATTTCCCTTGGTTTTATATTTCTTTTTTTTTTATACATGTATGGTTTATTTCATCACAAGAGGGTTTGGATGTGCCATTTAGGTCAGGCTAGGGACATGGCCCCATTAGCCCCCCCCCCCCCCTCCCCCGGATTCACCCTTGGGCTTTCGGCACACCGCACTTGCCCACCCTCCGCCCCGGCAGTAACCTCTCTGGCTCCGCCCGCGTGGAAAGACCATTTTTGTTCATAGCGAGAGGGCACTGTTGCTTTTGATGGCCGGCTCAGTGACCTTGTTTATTTGTGTGATGAGGAACACTGCTAGTTTTCCATGAGTGGGCAAAGTATAATGGTGCGAGCGGGGCACTAATAATTGTTCCTTCGAGGGGCAGTTTTGCATGTTGAGAAGTTTTCTCGAGAGGAGCACTATTGTTTGTTGATGTTCAATTTTCCATCTAGAGAAGGTGCACAATGTTGTTAATACGAGATGGGCACTTGTGTTTTGAGAGGCAGTTTTCCATTAGGGGCCGTATCACAAGTCAGACACTTTATAAATACGCATTTGCTGACTTGTGAGGCGTCGGACTGATGGGCCTTTATTTAGTTGGGAGCTGCGATTTTGTCGGCCTTATGAGGCGTCGGACTTATCAGCGGACCCCTTCCAAGTTCCAATACAAGACAGGAGACACATTTATTTTCAGCGCGAACAATGATGAGTTCGTGTGCGTTTGAGGGGCAGTTTTGTTTTCATCTCGAGGGGCGCATTTATAACAGCGAGAGGGGCACTTTTGTCGGCCTGGGAAAATGTGTGGGGGGGGAGTGCCCTCCCCCTCCCCGGTTCGGCCGCCCCTGCTCAGAGCCTAAATATGACGTTAATATGGTCCAAACTGGCATGATCCCGATTTCCACATTCCGACTTGACTTGTAACACCCCTTCTCCTCCACAAATTCACAGTTCCCCCTCCCCCACCCCCTGGTACCGCCCCCCGGAGAATTTGGAATTTGTCATTTGCCCAGGAAACGTCTTTTTTAAAGACTTTTTGTAAGTTAGTAAAACGAAGAGGCACTTTGTTTACGCTTTTCAAAGTATTTGCAGCACTTTTGATGGCCTGAACATTTCAGGGAAATGTTGTTGGGTCCACCCGTGGCGCCCCTCATAAAATACTGGTGTCTATCCCCCACAGAACAAAATTCTGGCTAGGCCACTGCGGCTGAAATGACAATGCAGGAATACGGTTGTTGACTAATCTGCCCGAAATCATTCACCTTTTTGTCGACCCCAGTAAATCCTCACTTTGAATGGATATCCTTGGGTTGGTTGGCCTATATATAGCTCTCTTTGCATGGATACCAGTTTGACAAAAGAAGAGCGTAGGCTGCAGGTCCAATGACTGGACTGCACCCCCTACATTTATTTCAGTAGGCAAGCCCAATATGGTTTGTCCCGGCGCCACTGATTGAGGGGCACAGTAGTCACCGATCTGAGAATGCACAGGTATAGGATGCCGGTGCAGTGCGCATGAATACAATTAAAACACTGGCATACACCTACAGTTCACCCATAGCGGCCACGAAAATGCAGATTTTTGCAATTCAAATCTGAGTCAGTGAATACAGTTTTCAAAGATGCGTGTTGAGGTACATACCTAACGAAAATGTACAAATGAAGTGCTTTTGGCGTAACGTAAAATGAAATTGGCTCTCATATGAGCTGCTAGAATTATATCAGTCACAACCATTATACTCTCTTAAAACTGTGTTGCGCAACTAAACACAATCTTGCTATCACTTTATAAACATTTTAGAAGATAAGCTTTACTCTTTAAATTCCGAAACGTCAATATTCACTTGCTAAACAATATCCATCAATACTCTTTATCACGGAGGAATAATCACGTTTATTATTCAAACATGGTTAACAAGCTGATAGCAAGAAAGTCTTTAGAAAACTGTGAATTGCTAAAAACACCGTTTTTGTAGTGTACTCTCGGCCCACATCGCGTGATGTCTTGGTTGGTAATCGTTTCTAAAGTAAATTGTCCAAGCTTTGCAAAGTTCTCTGCTTATAGCCCCATGAAATTGCGGCCCCTCGATACTTAACTGCACAGTTCAGTTGAGTTCCGAGGTCACATTTGACACGCAGCCAGCGCGTGATCGAGTGAGCTTATATTGTATGTATTTACTCCAAACAAATTTACAAGGCGCCGATCCAAATGTACTGGGCGGCGATATAAGAGGAGGGGGACCCCCCTCTCCCTCATAATGTTTGGGCAGGGAGGCAATATTGCTTGTATGTATGTTTGAACAGCGCACCCAAAGGCCCATGGGACGTCGTTGCTAGGTAAAAGGGCGCCCTGTTTTGTTGGCGCACGGAGCCCAAAGGGCCATCGCAATTTTGTCCTTTAAAAAAAAATAGGTAGAACAAGCAATTTTCAAAATTTTCAAAATGGTTGCCATTGCTTGTGATGATATCCTACCTATTTTTTTTCAACGGACAAATCTGCGATGGCCCTACAGCCAAATATCTTTCTCATGACATACTCTGACTGTGCCAAATTCCATGCTTGTATCTTCAAAGGCAGAATCCCATCACCTATCTGCCGTATACTTTGTAGGCCGCCTCCGGTTCCAATGGTTTCAATGCTACTCCCCGTGCATGTAGGCGTGGTTTGAGTTGAAATGACATCACAATAACGACCCGGATGTATCTGGTCTCATTTTATGGACTCTGTCCAGCACACGTGATCTCTCTCTTTCTCTCTCTCTCTCTCTAGTCGACAGAAGTCGGAATCATGTTGAGATTTGCCCATTCATGTATATCCTACATTAAGCTAGGAAGATCAGTTTGAAGCACACCGATGTCCCTAGCAACTACATCTATACAGCTGAGCTTTGGTCTTCCCCTATTTCTCCTTCCTTGTTTTGGTGGCCAGATGATAAGTTTAGAGACTAGATCTTTGGTGTTCCTGTATAAGTGTCATGCTAGTTTAAGACGACGTAGTTGTGTCTTACAGGACAGTTTTGGTTCCTTGCCATATACAGTTGGGTATTTGTGATAATGATGCGGACTCCAATGTACATTAAACATTGCCGTAGAAGTCTTGTATACCACCCATCTAGTTTTCTTCCAATTCCCTCGTAACGGTCCATGTATCGGAGCCATACAGGATGACAGACTAGATAGTTGACTTAAAGATCTCTTGAAAAAAAAAAAGTAAGACTGCTGCAAAACTGCTTACTGACTGGATGGACCTGAAATATATAAATCTAAAAATTATAAATCTAAAAATTAATGTGGCCTGACGTTGCGAACTTAGCAAGTTCTTCTTCTTCAAGAAGAACTTGCTAAGTTCGCAACGTCAGGCCACATTAATTTTTAGATTTAAAAATCTCTTGTTAGCTCTTGTTGAGGCCGGTATCCAAACCGGATATCCAAACAGAGTCCATTTTGTTCACGGTGACCGTTTTAGCCGAACTTTAGGCTAATTTTGACGGACTTTTTTTCGGGGAAAAACGAGTGTGACAGAAAATTTAGCAGAATCAAAATTTTGGTAGCAGTTTTCTAGCAGAATTCGGTAAAATTTGTGATTTGACTGAAAAATAGGGCAGATTTGAAAATATACCGGTAGCTGATTAGTTTTGAAAAAAAGCTTCAATTTGAGGTTCCCTGGCGCGTAGTAGGGCACAGTTGCAAGCCATGCTAAACCGTGCAAATTTATCTAATTTCTTATCTTATTTTAATGTTACGATTTGTGCAACATTGTGCATGCGGGTATAAGTGTTTATAATGTATTTCGTGTAATAGTGGGTGATCTAACAGATTTTGTGTAAATCTAGCAGATTTTTGAAGTGCATCTAGCAGAATTTTGCTGTTTACCAAGCGCGCACGAGGATTCACACACACGGTAAATGCGCATGCGACAGTCCACTACGCATGCGCTTTACAAAGCAATCGTGGAACTGTCGCAAGGGTGTAGTACGCACGCGCTAACGTCGCCCAATTCCAAGCGAGCTACACACGAAGAGACGGCTGCGCGGTACCCGTACCGCGCAACCATCTCTTCGTGTATGTTAATTTTCCCGAGCTCAATGATGCCGAACTGGAGAATATTTATGGACTTTAAATATATCTCCTGCACAAAAGAAAGTTGTCAACGAACTACTGAATTTACAACTGTAGTTGTAAACGAACTCAAGCTGGACAAATTTCTCCGAAGATTTTGTTTCAGGTGCATACTGCTTCGCACAAATAAGGCCACAAAAAAAAATAAGTCGGTCTCTGGTCAGCGCGCGCGTCGATTTTAATCATGCGCGTCGATCTTTTTTTTTTCCAAAATGTTCCGCGGTAGCTCCAACAGCGACCTCTTTTTCCGCACCTCCTCAATTTTTTTTACCAAAGAGCACCAAGGAATGGGAAATTGCACCAAGGCAAATGATCGAAAGCAACAAGGCAAATTATGGAGGACACCAATGTACATGAGGACACCAAAAAAGCAAAATAGTACCCAACTTGTCTGTACAATCCAAGCTTGAAAAAAAAAAAAAAAGCTGCGTGGCCGCGTCAATTCCGGAACTTTGGTCTGACCAGAGACCGAATATTTTTTGGGGGGGCCTAATCGGCAGCTCAATATGCATGAGGTTTACATGTATAACATGGTTTGTTTCGCTTCGCCTCGGGAACTAGTTTGTCAACTTCCAATACCTCGGGGAGCGAATAAGGACTGTCCACCCTCAAACCATGTTATATTTGTATATTACTGGCCCCGAGATGTAGGTAAGCTACACTGAGGGACCAGTAATTCCACCTTTTTTTTCCAGAAATAAACCGTGCTATTACTTCACCTCATAACACACTGCCATTTAGTAGCCGATCACTGCCTTGTCGATAAAGGTCTTCGCATAATGGTCTTCGTATAAACTTTTTACTTCCCAGACACCTGGCAGAATCGGCTAATAAACTGCTCCAATTTGATCATGAATATGTATGAGGTGTAGTTATTTCTATTACTGAAAGCTCAGAACGTCTGCATTAAGATGTGTATCAGAATTCTGAAATTATAATGTCAGATGTAAAAAGGACAGGGAAAAATGTGGGTCCCAAATTGAGAATGACCAAATTTGCAGTCGAATAATTCAGACGTTGTTAAATCACACCCCTGCACATTATCCAGGTTAGTCACAGCTATAAGCCCACAATAATTCTGACTGTGACCTCCAGTAACAATGCGCTTTTCGAAATTGCCAATCACCCGTAGGCCACAAGTGGGCTGCCTTTCCTTTTTTTTCGTCGATGCGATTGTCATTCAAATCATTTACGAGGTCTGCGTGAAAGTGCTAGCGGTAACGCCGATCCTTGCAGTCGGATTAGAGTTGGACCGCCGGTGCACACACTCTCGACTCTTTCGTTCGCTTGGTATTACAGTCTGCAGAAGAAGACCAAAATGTACGCTGCCGTGCTTTTCTCCGTGTTGATAGTAGCTGCCTCCGCGGTCGGCGAAGAACCCGAGAAATGCTGCTCTGACCCCTACTACACGTTCATAGCAGGTAAGAATATCAACTCCAACCCAAAATGTTTTTCTCGGTTGTTGTTTTTTGGGGGGCTGCAGTGCCTTTTCTCGTTTTATTAACCTAAAAAAAAGTGTCTAAAGCGCTGTAGGTGCGGTAAAACTTGCCCCCATAAAATGTGACCAATTTACTAGACTACCTCCGTAAATAAGGGACACACTTGGGTCTATTTTTTTGGTGTAAATTTCGTGTTGAAATTTAGATACACAAACGTGATCAAACGAACCTGGATATTACATGAAAAATAGACGTCTGAGAAAGGAGGGACTTCTTTTCTATAGCTTTTAATAGGGTGTGTGTGCTTCTAAAACGTAAATAAACTACAAAGTATAGATATGAAAATCGAAACTTAACAAAGTTCTACATTTTAGGGTACATGTTCGAAGCGAGGTAGTCCAATAAACTATTGGCCATATTTATGGGGCTAAATGTTAGACAAACTGTTTGTTTGGCCACCATAGGCAAAAACCTTCAGAATTGTTTTACTAATTTTCTGCCAAAACATTCCTAAAGGCCTATATAAAAAGAAACTCAAAGTGAGTCTTTTGACTCATTATCGTAAAAACAAAATGAGTCATTTTGTCCGTGTAGTGACACACTACGGCTCAAAGTGTGTCACTACACGGACAAATTGACTCATTTTTGTTTTTACGATTATGAGTCAAATGACACTATTTTTGTTATACGGTTATTGTATCTTAGAATGCCTAACTTGATTTTCCTTTCCGTTTAGAACCTTTAGCATGTGATTTCGCCCATATTAAACACCAATCACATTTCGAGAAAAGTTTGCTGAAAGTTGCCATCACGTGACCACGACATCCAATTTGTTAACCAGTTATATACAGTGTCCATATCCAAAATTATTTTTGATAGCAGTGTATTTTTCAATGTTAACAAAATGCATATTTCCAAAACAAATAGTCGGCATAGTATTTTGGCCCCATCAATGGGCTAAAATCGCATAACCAAGAAAATGACTTCTTCCTCATCTCACACTCTAAAAAAAGAAAATTAGTCAGAATTGACTATAAACCAGTCAAATATGACTAGCTATTCAGGGTCAGCTGGGTGCAACTGAAAATCAGTCAATCTGACTAGATTTTCCAGTCAGTATTATTTACTATAGGAAAAATAGGTATGCAAATAACTAAAATTGGAGTCAAATCCAACTACTTTTTCAAGTCATAGTATGAAACTTCGCACGTTTAACTAATTTCCTAGTCAATTTTCAATAGCTAGGACAACCAGTCAATATTTTGCTAAAGCTGTTTTTATAGCCCAGAAGTTAAGACTCATGTATCCGACTACTGATGTGTCATTCATTCATGTTTAATATCAGAGATTGTTGCGACTGAACTGAAAGAAGGCGCGCTGCTGACCGAACTGATTCAACAACCTGGGGCCTACGATTCCATCGACAAGAAAATCGGCTTGAAATACAACGTACACATCTCTAATGGCACCCAAGAAGCCTTCCGGCTAATCGCAGACTACAACGAGGTATTTGTCTGGCTAAATGTTGTATTAAGGTCATGTATAGAAATACACCTTAGTTTGATGTTTTCCTGGCCTGTAACTGAAAGGATCGTGCCGTTCGTGCATCGGGAACCGTTACGAGGTGTCCAATGAAAACAGAAGCCCTACATCTTAGAAAATTCAAACAGTGTCCAATTGTCTTGTTGATTGATATCATTAATGACAGTTGAAATGGCTTTGTTTAGATCACATATTGTGGTTTATTTATCGACAGGGAAAGGCCTACGTTATCTACAAAGAAGAGGAAGAAACAAAATGCGACATCTATACCTTTTCCTATGGTTTCCCATACAACTGTGTGCCAGGTATCTGAATCAGTCAATTTGTGCTTGCTTACGCCATGTAGGTCTTTATGGTACTTTCATTGTCATCAAATATAAATTTCAAGAATGTTTATACAATTGATAATCAAAAGAACTGAAGGTATATTAACCTAGACTCAGAAATCCAATAGACAGGTGTTACTGTTACACCCCACCATAAATGGTGGGACGTGGACAAGTCTGCGAAAAAAGCCAACTCTCCTCGATCAGAAGTGTCTCGGCTTCTAAAAAAAAAAAAGTTTGTTAGAGAAATCATCACTTAAAGAAATCTTGTCAATAAGTAAAGCAATGGATTGAAACATCTCTGAACACAAGTGGCGGGTCGTTTTCTCAGGCTTTCCTATACCTGACCTTTGATGGTTTCTGTCTACCCCGATTAATCAATGATCTGATTGGAGTCGAACAGTTTTCAATTTGTGTTTCAGCCCTCGCTTGTCATATTGGTAACCAAACCATGGGCGTCGCGAGAGGGTGGGGGAAGGGAGGCACCCCCCCCCGGAAAACGAAACAAAAGGAAAAAGATGTTCGAAGCCATATTGCTGTTAATTTGATGGAGGGGTAGGGCAAATGCTCCCCTGTTTAAGCTCGGAAAAATGATAATATAGAGAATTGAGAATATAATAAAAAAGTTAAGAATTTTGGGGAAATGTGCTTTGCTCCCCCCCCCCCCCCCCCCCCCCGGGAAAAAATCCTGGCGACGCCCATGAACCGAACATTGTATTTCTTCCTATACAGAGGACAGCAAGTTTGCCGGTTCTGTAACCATCGGCGATCGAGCTATACGTGCGAACAACTGGTACCACAATGACCAGAGTTCCCCCTCCGAAGACGTGCACACTGTGTACACCATCGAGGAGGAGGAGTGCGTTGATGTCAGCAGCTTCCAGCGAACCTTCGACCCAGAAACAGGTATTAATGCAGTCTCAAAATCTGGCACATTTGGTAGAACTTGAGAGTGTGGAGACATGCAAAGCAGGCATGAAAATAAATCGGCAGATAAAAACGAAATATGGTACCTAGTCTCTATGTTGTCGAACTTGTTCTAGTCTCGTTTTTAGACTTAAAATTAAATGGTCTCACGCTCAAGTGCAACATGCTGAAAAAAATCTCCTTGAATATTAGAACAGATATCTTGAATTTGGCTGGTTCAATCTTATGGCTCTATATTTGCACTGCTGAATTATTGAGAATCTTAGTGGGAATAAATAGTGGGCCAAGCTTACAGCTGGCCGACATTTGCTTTTTTTTTATGCACTCGGGCCTCAGTCTGGCACTAATGGTAAAAAAGATCCTTCATCTAACTTTGAAACAGAAATAATGTTAAAACATATAGCGACTCGAGGGATCTGACGCATTATGACAGTACCTATCATATTGCCGTGATTTGCAGAATGAAATTGCTACCAACTTCTTGTATTTTCAGGAGATGAGATCAGCCTTGTAAGGTCCACCTATTCGGATTTCAGTCTGGGCATCTGCCATCCGGATGATTGGTTCAAAGTCCCAGAGGAATGCCAGGTAAGATGGTTGACATTCTTACCCCAACCCGGATGCGAATTTGTTCCGTAGGTGGGTTGCTCAAATGTCATGCATAATTCTGTTTCCTTTGAATTGTTGCAAGACACTTAGGTTCTCGTTCTCTTTCTCGTTCTCCCTGGATTCAAACCAGAAATCTTTCTATCCAATAGCCTACCGTTTGGTAGCTTGACGACGTCCGTAATTTAAAATGCTTTAAAGGTTACTGGTTGACTAAATAACAACAATGCCCTTGACATCATTGCCCCGTTTCATGAATAAACATACTGGCCCAATCGAAACTGTTGAATTATTCATAACTTTTGAGCAACCCACCTACGGAAAAGAAATTCGCAACCCGGATTCTTCAAACTTCTTCAAAAGGAAGTGAAGGATTTTGTCAGATGGGGAAGGTACCCTATACGGCCCAGTCACTATCGTCGTACGTCCAAAGAGTTTTTGGTGTGAAAATCAGACAGATTGAGTTTTCCAGTGAAAGAGTAAAATTCGAATCTTTGGAGTGAGTTTGAAGTTGAGTGAGTTGGAATTTGGTGGAATCTTATAAGTAATGTGCGTTGGGTTCATGTTTACAGAGGTGCAATTTGAGAATTCAGGAAATTTGTTGAGGAAAAAAAGGGCAAGTTGGAGTTAGGAGAGGAAATTGAATACCATTGATGAGAGAAGGTTTTATAAAACCTGTTTCTGTTCTCAACAATGGTTAATATACCTCTGGGCTAGTGTCAAAAGTTAACGAATACATTTTTTAAAGAAGTTTGATGGACTTTTTGTCTTATTGATTCTTCCATAGGCTGGGAGAGCAAAGATGGTCGAAGGCATCCCCAAGAAATATGCCGGACTTCGCGGACCAGGAGGAAAGCGTCTGTTCCAGTAGATGACTCGTAAATACGGCTTCAGTTTGAAGATGGAAAGTACTTAAAACGAAATATCTACCGAGCTGAAAGATTTTAAACGCTTGCGCATAAGTTTCTTTTAGATTTATACTGGTTGAGGGTTAATGATAATTTAGTTTCTGCTGGTTCAAAGAGGCCTGCCTATAGACAATTATCATGTTGCGGCCATCTCTTTTTTTCCCATTCAAATCAACGTAACCAAAGCGAGGCTGGAAGGAAAATGGTCTGGTTCCTTTTGCATTAAAACCATTATCATTCAGTACTGTTATTGAATACAAGGAATAAAACTGAATTGGTGGCAGCATGTATAGTCCTCTTTCTCCCTGACACTGACTTACTGATCACCCCATGTTACCAGTGAATTAGACTGGACATAGTCACATCTTGGCCCAAAGGTTTGACATAGGATTATCCCGAATGACTAAAGGGTTAAATCCGGCCCACTGTTCGGGCCACATGCATGAAAAGACTAGAATCAATTGAATAGAATTTGCTCGCTCTGTGACCAACCTTTACTAGGCTTTGATTGTCTTGTTTTATCTTTATCATGGTTTTCTTTGGAACCAAACTGCAAATAATTTACAATTCAGTCTAGGTTGCTAATATAAGCATGTGAACCTGCTTTGTTTGAAGGTCGGCAGCCTGTGCTCCACACTCCAGTGTTTTGTGTTTAAACAAAAACATGATTGATCATGATTTATCTGGAATTCTCTTTATATTGGTATTGTTTGTAAATCTTTGTATTCGTTTGGAATAGAAAACAAGTTTGTCTTGTCTAAAAAATAAAATTGAAATATTCCACAATCAGATGTTTGAAATATAATTGTGTGTTGCCTTGTTTAGTTCCCATTGTGCATAATTATATGGGTTTGAGGTTTCAACAGCATTATTGTCAGACGGTTTAATTATCGTCTTTGATGGTATCACGTCCTTGTTGTACTTGAAAAAAAAATTGGCAAAGATCTATCAGATTTTTTTGTCCTCATAATTTGTGTAATTTCATGATGCGCCTGCCTCTGTCAGCACTTGCTTTTGTTTCTTGATATTATTAAAACAAGTGGCATTTGATAATTGAAAATGCAATTAATACATTGCTGAGAATATTTTTCACTCGCGATAGATGTAACAGAGCTACCTACGTAAATCAGTACGTTCTCCTAAGTTCTCCTAAATACATCGTTCACACAAACATCGAACAGCTCTGTCAAACTAAACGTCCTATTTTTGGCTTTCCAACCCTCGGGATGAAGGTTCAACCATTATTGGCTCGGAAAACAAGTCCGATCTCCCTGGTAATGCATATGGGTGGTCAACGGGGAAGAGCTTTGCCCCCCCCCCCCTTCCCCCACTTTTGTAAAAGTGGGGATATCATATCATTTCCCCCTCCCCACTTTTTTCGGCCCCGAATAAAAATTGTAGCTGATGTATATGATTGAAAAGCTCAAAATAGCTGATTCAATGACTCCAAACTCGAAAATGATGTTTAAATGAAAGTGTACAGATTGTGCCAAAAGATGAAACAATTTTTTATATTCTGTAACGAAAGAGGAATTACCACAGGCGCGGTTCTAGGGGGGGAACTAAGGGGGGCTTTAGCCCCCTAAAAATTTTGTCTAGCCCCCTAAAATAAATTCCGTAAAAAAAATGGCATTAGCAAAAAGAAGGATTGTGATGTACATGCGAACGGTCTCCCCCTAAAGAAATAGTCGTGACAAGGGTGCATTAGTTAATATAGTGTGAATGATTTTAGGATTTTATTGGCGCTCCCCCCCCCCCCCCCCCCACCTATTGATTTTCGGAGGCCTAAGTGTCTGGAAAAAATAACCGGTTTTCATTTCAGCACGCCTCCCTGAAAAAATTCTGGATCCACCCTGCTAGCCCCCCCCCCCCCCCCAAAAAAATATTGGTTCTAGAACCGCGCCTGAATTACCATCTTCAACTAAAGCTCTAGTTTAAACACCAATAATGTTAAAACGAGTCACTCATACAGTGTTCGGTAGTGGATAGCGTACTTGTTCTGCCGTGGCAGTTTTTTACTTATTTTTCTTGGCGGCAGCATGGGGAAATCATTGCTTTCTTTAGAAAAAAAACAAATCAACATAGCTCAAGCAATATCTTTTGATTCAGTTTGTTTGATCTAAACTGTTGTCCTACCGTCTCAATGTTGATAGCACACGGCCACGTATATCTTAAACTTGGATTGAAATGGAACAAAATCCGTCATCACACTTTAAGCCTGGGGATCGGGTTCGTGTACTAGGCACAATTCACTGTTGGAAATCCAACATGGCCGACCTCAATACGACAGTATTCTGGGGGTCCAGACCGGTATTGTGTGCGTCATGCATCATATAAGTTGTGATGGATTGTCACCTGCATCGCAAACAAATACCTTTCGGGCCAAGGACACATCCTTGCTACCAATCTCCCGGGGTTTTTCTTTGTTCTTTTCTTTCCATTTATCACCGCTTCTAAACGTCTGATATAACTTCTGGTTGAATTAGAACACTGGGAATATTCTTGAATGGTGTTGATACGAAATGAATGGTGCATGGCCGGTACCACAGCCGGTCGGTGCAGTCAGTGACGAGTCAACCGCGTCCCCGGGGCTCACTTTATTTCCAACCACTATTCCAATAGTAAACCCTGGATAGGAAACTTTCTTCCTGTATCCTGATTCGATACCGCAATTGGCTAGTAATGGATTTTTATCGTGTACTTGGTGCTATTATTCACAACGTGCAGTACGTGTTTTCGCGATCATTCGTCCACGCCTTCTCGAAAATACTAATTTCCTTTCCAATTTGCTAATATTATTATGAAATATGATACTGCATGTTGTCTCGATAAGATCGTAATAGTTTAATTTTAAAAATCGTGTTTTCGTAACTCACGCCGTGCTTGCGCTGCGACGAATTGACTCTTTTTACCCCAGACGCCGCATACAAAAACAAACGGTAATGTAACGCATATCCAGGTACCAGACTGTTCCTCATTTGCATACGTGTTCAAAAATCTTGCACATGCAAATGAGCCAATACCAGGGTGAGAGAGCAGGTAGTGATTCGAGTTGTGTACACTTTCGAACGGAGGATTATAAGAAATGAAGTTGGGTTTTCTTCGGTTTCTTTGTCATTTTTGAAAGAATAAAGAAACAGAGATCTAAATTGATAAAAATCAATGAGAAGTATAGTCAAGGTGTGCGCAGTATTAGATTGCTGGAAGGGGAAGAAAGGAGCGTTGAAGAATAGGACAAATTATTATTCGCAAGTAAGTTGGGTTTTTTTAACGAGGCCTATACAACATGGCATGGAGGAATATGAACATGGGAATGACAAAGCAAATTATAATATCGTTAATGTTGTCGCTCTGAGTTTGAGGGGATGGAGGCCTGTGTGGTAGCTAGCGAGATATTCTGTTCAAATTCCATGCGATCTGGGCCTGTCATGCTGGTCGGCATCATTTTTTTTTAAACACATAGGCCTAAACGTGCATGACTGATCCGGCAATGGCAATGAACAAAAGTTGACTTGTTTAAAATAGTTTATTCGAATAACTTTTATTACTTTTATATGCAAAATCTGACTGAATTATGTCTGCCTTGGTTTCACGCCTACCGAAATGTTTCTATTCTTTTTCTCTATAAAGAGAAACCGAGGAGATGGTTTATGCTAACTTACTGCACAACCGGCCGATTGACCTTCATATCAAACAAAGAACTTCAGCAAAGCCATAGCAAAAACCACCAGTTGCAGGACGATATCCGAGATGGGCGAAAATGGAGAACTTCACGGAAGGATGGAATCGACTGTATCATCCACTGAATGGAACATGCGATGTGATAAGCATCTGAAAGTTTGACTTAATCAATTCTTACGATGTGGAACTGTTAACATTGATTGATTTTGTTTTTGGAAAAAAGCTGTGGAGTTCAACGCAAGTATTTTCATGAGCTCCCAAGATGACTGTCACATTATTGACAGTTTGTATGGTGAAGAAAGCAATGAGTACTTTTACGGTTTGAAATTATATTGTGTTCGCCGTTATAATAAGATTACTAGCTATAGCCATAGTATACCGTCATATTCGCTCACAAAAACGATTCCCAATACACTTACAAGTAATTATATTTATTTTCAGAAGTATAGCTAAACATTTAATTATAAACAAGACCGTGCGTAGCTTGAATTATTCTTTGACAAAATTAGTATAGTACTATTTTGGTTTGTGATTCATCTCCTTTCACACAATATCACAAGAGGTGAACGATGTCATTCCCTGATCAATCTAGGGACGGGAAGAAGTTTTTACTGATTACTTTGTAAAATTAAGGGTTTTTTACTTTTTAGATTCTAATTGGTTCATGTATATGGAGATCAATGTAAAGACCCCTCTCAAAGGTCCCCATCTTCGTAGGAATATTAAAACTGCGTATTCAACGCGCGCGAAATACGGCGCAGCCGATTCGCGTCATGAAAATATGACGCGCAAATGCCGATGCACGTGGCTATCTGTGTCCGCCATATCTAAAAACAAAAACCATCGTCTTATTGGTAAAAGGGGGTCCGCTCATAAGTCCGACGCCTCATAGGTCCGACACCTCATAATTATGTCCGACAAAATCGCATCCCCTAACCAAATAAAGGCCCATAAGTCCGACGCCTCATAGGTCCGACGCCTCATAAGTCCGACGCCTCGTAGGTGCGACGCCTCATATCTCCGACGCCTCGTAAGTCAGACAAATTAAACGCCTCGTTTTACCGACGTCGGGCTGATGAGGCGTCGGACCTATGAGGCGAAATAAATAAATGTTATGCCTCATAAGTCCGACGCCTCATAAGTCCGAATTTTCGGACTTATGTGGCGTCGGACCTATGAGGCGTCGGACTTATGATACGGCCCCGGTAATGGTAATAGTGTACAAATCGTTTATGAGCAAGTGTTCACAAAAAGCTAAGGAAAGAAGAATGCAGAAAATACAAACTGCTCAATTTAAACTCGATCGCAAAGATGATTAGAAACCTTTAAACAGTACCTGTGGTACAATGTCATGAACATTTTCGGGGAAAAAATGCGACTGATGAGCTTTAAACAGTAACAATTTTAAGGGATATTATTTTTGAGAGAATGACTTGTAACAATTATTTGATTATCTTAGAAACTAGTTACTGTTTTTCCCTGCAAAGAGGAATATTGTAACCCCCTAAATCTGAGTAAGTCCTATCCCATTGAGGCCATATACGTAGACAAAAATCAACAAAGACCAGCCATTGCTGGACGCATCGTTGCTCCTTGGGGTCCACGGCCGCTCAGGGCTCCTCCAACAAAGTGCATGATCCACCGTCTAGGGCTCTGTACCGCACTCGCATGTTATTGAACTGGGACGCAGTTCATTGCTCCATTCAACCTTTGAACGGGTCTCTCCGACTAAGTAATAGGGAAACCTTATTTTTTCCAACCAAAGGAGTTACTATTTTTATAGTTAAGCCTGATTTGTGAGCATTTTTGTCAAGACCGGCGTTTATATTATCGGTGTTTTTCATTTAACACCTAATGTCGTCGTGTGAACGAAACAAACCAAGTACATGTAGCACATTAAAATTTAAACCCTTTGACCTATAGTCATGACATTTCTTGGGTATGTTTATGATGAGTTGTTCTACGCATGTACCGAATTTCATAACTGTTCGTCACTCGATTACCGAGATCTTAGCCCCCCCCCCCCCCCCCCCGCGGCTGAGAGATGGTCAAAATACCCCGGCCCTTTTAGGGTTAAAGTCCGAGTCGAAACGTGTTTGTCAACTTCCACATTCACAAAGTTTTAGAAAATACTAAGAAACGAACAAAGTGCGGACGCGGAATCTCTTAAGACGCCTGCTGAATAAGAATCAGCTCCACGGAAGTAAACCCGTACCACACTGTCATCTTACTCTCAATTGTCCGAAATCCCTGGCCAATGGTACTTAATGTAGCGTGATATCAGACAGAGGGAAAGCCCCAACGCCTTTATTTGTCATTGTGTTACCAGAGTCTTAGGAATTCTTTTGCGATATCTAGGGGGATGTGTTTAAGGTAACGATAGGGTATAGGGAGATTTGAGGGTACCCCTTCGTCTCATATCGTGCTGGGTATCGTTGAAATTCTAAAGACAAGGTCCGTCCAGGCAGGATGGTGCTAGGGGCGGAGCCTGCAAAACAAAGTCTTTGTTTGGCTTAAATAGACATTAAGAACACCATTAGAACCCTGGAAATATTCTTGAGAAGAGTTGACACGAAATGCGACACAGTGGCTCCCGATACCTCAGTACAGTCAGTGACGAGTTTTTTTTTATTTAAATGTCTGTTTAATTGAATAATAAACTAAGATTCTCGGATAAACATTCGAATTTTGCATGTTCAAGGGGTGTATGTTACACCCAACGCCGCCCGGCGCTCCTCATTTAGGAAGGCAGTTATTGACCAGTGAAGACGTTAGGTATATTCCACGGCGAGCGTTGTCCAAAAGAAATTCGTGAGCGATTCGAAGACAGACCTTCTAGAAAGATGTCGCCCAGTCTCCTTGTCTGCACCATGGTCGTGATTGCTGGGGCAATGGCAGCCGGCATGCCTATGTCCCAAGAGATGGTCGGAATCCAGTCCAGCCATGTGCCTTGCGATGCTCCTTTATACTTCACTTTTGATGAAGGTAGGCACGACAAGAAAATACTCCAAACATATTTTTAGATAAACTATTGCTGCCAATGAATTAGTGTTTGTGTGAAATTCCAATTGTTATTTGCTATATTTCCAATAGGGGGCCTATGGCAAAAATGATGCAACCTGAAGCCGCTTCCGAAACAGGTTTTTTTTTTGGCTTACCTTGTACCTCAGACAGTGTTCTTTCATGTAAGAACTGTAAGGAATATGTTGACAAAGTCTTTAAGAGATATTTGTAGGCAAATGTGTGGCCAAACCTAGTGAATTTTTACATTCTTTATTTTTTATTTTTTTATTATTTTATTACCTTCACTGCACAAATACATTAGAAATGACATGTGGTGCAAAAGGGAAACCCCGAACAGGCACACAGGCCCACTAAATGACCCTTGTTCACACATCAAAACCGAAAAACAGGGGACAAGCACAACAACAAGCAAACAACCGAAGAAAACAAAGAAATACTGTTCAAAGAAAAATCACAAAAAGAAAAATTAAAAACTACAATTAAAAACTACAATTAAAAACGGCCACAAATTCGTCACCGACACCACGAACTGACACCGGTGGTCAGCGTTGCAGAAATACAAATCAGAGAAAAACGCTTTGAAAGGTTTGACACGAATTTACTCAGTAAAATATTCCATCTATCTTAGAGGTTTTAGTATCACTTGAAAATGCTTTAACTACTATTATAAACGTTAAATTGTGAAAATATGCTTAGTTATTTAGCAATTAAATGATTAAGATGGGTGTCAGTTCGTGAAAACGAAAATGTATGTGTTTTCGGAGAGTGCGCGCATGCAATAGCGTTAGAAAGTGTCAGTTCGTGAAAACCAAAATTGACGTGTTTTGGGGAAAGTGCGCGCACACACTGCGCATGCGTGCGCGCACTCTCCAGAAGCACGTCAATTTTCGTTTTCACGAACTGACACTCCCTAACGCTATTGCATGCGTGCACTCTTCGAAAACACGCACATTTTGGTTTTACGAACTGACACCCTGTGCAGAGTCACTTCGTGGTAACTCAAAAAACACAAGAATTGACCAATTTCTTGAAAATTCATTATTAAAATTTGCTTATTTAAGATGATTTTAGCAATTTTAACTTCATCATGTTAAACTTCATGATACAAACTGCTAATATCGGCAAAAAAAAGAAAATGTGATTTTTTTTTGTACACATGTGATACAGAGGGTGTCAGTTCGTGGTGTCGGTGACGAATTATTGCACCAGCATAATAAAAAATATACGGGTGAACTCTACCCAAATTACACATCACTGGCTAGTGAGTAGTGGTCAAGTAGGCCCGATTTAAAAAAGGAAAGAACTTGTGAATTTCTTAGGTTAGATGGAATTTCGTTCCAGGAGTTGTATTTGAGACCGCATGTTTCCACCTTCGTTTATCACGCGCCGGTTGAAGACGCCATCATGTAGTAAAATTTAAATAAATTGGCCACATACTCGCCTACAAATCTCTCTTCAAGAGTTTGTCATATTCCTTAGGCCAAAAATAAAAGGCTCCGGTTTCTGGTATGCGCGCGCGTCGCCGTAGCCGCGCGCGTCGGAAAAATTAAAAAGTTTTATTTTTTCAATGTAAGATGATGTCTCAAAACCGCCAAACTCACTGGTTTGACTGGAATCCTGCTGCTGCACAATTTTAACGTGTTTTTAGATGGGGATACGATCAAGTACAAGCTTTATGCGGCCTCTCCGGGCTCCCATACATTTTGCACTAAATTTAGTCGGGCACCATTTGCAGTCATCAGCCGACATTTGAAAAAAAAAATTAAGAAAAAAAGCTGCGTCGCAGCACCACTTTTGGGGCAAGCTCCATACCAGAAAATAGACTAGCAACTGAAGCAACCAGTCCAAAAATACTTTCCTTTTGAGTCAGGCGCGGTTCTAGAGCCTATATTTTCAGGGGGCTAGCAGGAGTGAATCCACAATTTTTTTGCAGGGAGTCGTGCTGAAAGGTAAACCGCTATTTTCTCTGGACCTTAAGGTCTCCGAAAATCAATAGGGTAGGGGGGAGGGGCCTCGTACCATATTCTCACTCATATTTTCAATGGGGAGCGCTATTATTACCTGACAGTGTTCAAATGCACCCTTCTAACGACACATTTTTTTAGGGGGGGATCGTTGGCATGTGGCGTCGCCTAACATTTTGCATTTTGCTACTGCCAATGTTTTTATGGAATTTTTTTTTTGGGGGGGAGGGGGGCCAGACAAAGTTTTGAGTGGGCTAACCCCCCCCCCCCCCCCCAACAAAACAGTTGTACTGCTGGACGACCCAGCGCCTTCACGAACCTTTCGGTTTATTTGCATTTTCATTTTGTTATTGTTACGAAGTCGACGTCATGTCTTCGGTGAGCGAGGGCAGCCTTCTGGTCGAGTACGTTAATTTCGATGGGGCGTACGACGCCAAAGCCCAGCAGTTTTCAGTCAGGACGACTGTGGATTACTTCAATGGAACACTGTACACCACTCAAACGATTGAAGACTACAAAGAGGTGGGCGTGTCTTTATTATTACTAGGAGTATTTTATATTATGATCCTCGTGTTTTAAGATATCAAAGCCGATTGATTTCAATGATGTCTAAGGAAACCTCTTGTCAAAACCGGAATGAAAATAATCGGCCCCGTGGATAACATTAACAAGTCCCTCGCTATAAAACTATGATCCGGCTCCGTTTAGCTTCATTTTTGTCAGATGCCTGATTGGCATGAACAACTGGTGAACACGAGGCAGGCAACAGACAAAAAGTCTCTCTCTACAGAACAGTTATCCTGTAGGCTAGTTTTAATCTTTGGACATGAATATTATTGTTTGTCTTTGCAGGAGAAAGCGTACATGATATATAACAAGACTGGGCATGAGTTGGTGTGCGTTGTAGATGACATCGCAGGAAAAAAGTTCCCGTATCAATACTTCATTCCAGGTACAAAACACATTGTTGTTTACGATCCTATGAGTGCAGTTTTTTTTAAAGGAATTTTGGCATTGTGTTGCCTTCACTTGATCTACTCGTAACAATAACAACTGTAATTTTTTGGCACCCATGTCTTACGTTACCTTGGGTTTGTATTTTCTGGTTTGGGTCTATTCGATATGCGGACTGTTGCGATTCTTGTTCGTGAACGCCTAATCTACATTTCTTATTTCGTGACATTCAATGCATTTTACTTTATTTTTTTTATCTCTCTTTTAAACTGTTTTACGGGACAGCTACTGCCAAGTTTGTAGCAGAGGAAACCATAGGTGACCGTGATCTTGTTGTGGACAAGTGGTTTGAGAAAGACGAAGCCGGAAACAAGCACACCATCAAGACTGTGACTCGTGGAGAATGTATACCAGTGGCAATCGTGCAACGTAGATTCGACCCAGCCACTGGTGAGAATCCTGAGAGAAGCGTGTGTGTATGTGGGCGGGGCGGGGGGGTGGAGATGACAGAAAGGGGGATAAGAACAGGACAGCGTTAGAAAGGGTGGTTGGCCTAAAGTGGGTGTAAGTGAGTGAAAGATATACCTAGTTTGTTTTAAGGTAAATTGGTCCTCGATTAGCTTTTCGGGATATGGTGGACACAGGTTCTTTATTGTATATATAACCACGGCAAATAGCGCTCTCCATCTCAAAGGACGCCCCCGCCCACGCGCCATCTTGTTAGGAAAATTCATAGAAATTACATTAATAAATACCTTGGAGAGTTGATGGTTTCTGATTGGTCGAGACTCGATCACGTGGCCGGGCATTAACGGTGATAATGGACCGGCTTCAAAGATCAAGCGAATAAATGGCCCCTGAACCAGCATTGATCAAGCCCTGAACCAGCATTGATCAAGCCCCGTTCAGCCCCATGCACGCCAATGATTGGTCAAAATATAGTAACAGTCCTGCGGTAGCTTGTAACAATAGAGCAATGCACATGCGCTCAACCGGCCCCCATCGCGTGAGACTGACGCGCGCGTACGCAACACAGTTGCTATGGATGCGTGCGTGCGCGCGCGTAAGGAAGTTTTGAAACGACATCGTACAGCAGTGCAGTATATACTGAGGATGTTTACGACGAAAGTGTAGATCTACGATTTATTTTCTTTGAACACTTCACCCACCGACATATTTACCTTTCCTAAACCAAGCATCTTTGTAATTCCGGACACAAGGAATGTGTAAACGAGATTTCAGCTTCCTCCATCAGGTAAAGATACGAAAACATTGTTGTAATTTGTTTCGCTACGGCAGCAGTTTCTGTTGAGTTTACGTCGTTATAGTTGTTAAGCTAAAATATGGCCCATGAACATGAACACAAAAAAGTCTGGAAATATCGCCGAAAGAAAGTCACAAAATTGGAGCATTTTAATTGTTTATTTCGTTAAAAAGGTATTTATTAATGGGAATAACAGTGTGAGGATCCGGTCTTCACTGCGTGATAATGACCGGTTGTGGGGGTGACCGCTGTTAATGGACCTCGACTTCGTCTCGGTCCATTAACAGCGGTAACCCCCACACCCGGTCATTATCACGCAGTGAAGACCGGCTCCTCACACTGTTATTCCCTTAATATTGCACATTCAACGCGTGTGTGCTCAGTGTGCAAAAAATAATGTTCTAAACACGCCCGCGTGTTGCTCGAAGTTTCTTCGATATATACGGCGCAGCGCGCCCATGCGCGTCACGAATAATTGTGACGCGCAAAATGCCGGTGCACGTGGCAATCTGTGTCCGTCATTATCTAAAAACAAAAACGAAAAAGCTTAACAAATCGTTTTTGAGCAAGTGTTCACAAAATACAAACTGCTCCATTGAAACTTGATCGCAAAGATGATAAGAAACATTTAAACATTACCTGTACTACATGGACAGTTTAGAAAAAAATACCACTGATGAGCTTTAAGCAGAAACAATTTTAAGGGATATTATTTTTGAGAGAATGACTTGATGTTTTTTTCTCCTCAGATAAGGAAATTCAGTGGATGGAAAGTCGAATCCACAATTTCCATCTTGGTATCTGTGACCGTGAGAAGTACTTCAAAATCCCCGCCGAGTGCCAACAGGTGAGACCTCCGAGTTGGGCCTCCCTCCGAGCTCCCACTTTATTCACTCCGATACAGAATTCAGTGCAAAATCAATCGTAGAAACAAATAAACTTGATAATGAATGAGAGATGTTGGTGTTTTTTAACCAAAGCTGATTATATTTTGTGGTTTGTTTCCTTCTTTTCTCAAGGGTATTGCTTTGAAGGACCTCACTGCAGGGGAGATGTACCAGCAGTACAAGAAGCTGCGTAGATTCCGTGACTTTTGATTTGCCTTGATGAAGGCTTCGTCGAGTCGTGCGCAATCAAGCCGCATTTCTGTACTTCTGTAAACGTCATGTTAACGTAGTAGATTTTAGTTGAAATGTATAATTGCTTCAGTCTGACTTGTAATAACAGTTATTGATTATCTTAACATTAATAGTTTTGCTGAAAGAAGACTACTTGTAGTACCCTAAATTAATCTGAGTACTATCCCATCGAGTCCGTATGCATACGAAGAAAGAAATCAACAAAGACCAACCATTGTTGGACACATCGCTGACCCTTGAAGTTCCACAGCGGCTCGCTGATTTCTTTCCGTATGGGTGGAACGCTCCAAATCATGAACAATTCAATAGTTTGGGGCCAATATGTTTATTCATGCACAGAACAATGATATTAAGAGCATTGTTGTTACTTAGTCAACCAGCTACCTTTAAAGTGGATGGCGTGATGAGCTATGGATACAAATATCCCTGGTTCGAATCCACGTCGTCGTTGCTTATTCACATTGACTATTTGTTTTTATTTTTTATCTCTGAATATCGTTGAGATAATTCTATTTTAAGGCCAAAAAAGAGAACGAGAACCTAAATGTCTTGCAACGATTCAATGGAAAACTGAGTTATAATACATTCGAAAAGCTGAAAACAAAACAAAAAACTGGAAAACATCAAAATGATTACTAACATTAAATGAAACGTGCAGCTTGTACCTTAAGGGAATAAAACAAGTTCGAGAATACGTGGACTTGGTCTAAACTTCATTATCGTCGATGTCGAAACCAGTCGAGTTTTCTTTCTGAAACCAATGAATTAGATGTAAGCAGCAAGAAAATAATTATTAAGGGTTCTCAATATTTTCTTTGTGCGACGTGCGTGTAAAATAAATTCTACAGAGTTTTTCTGATCAAGACTATTAAAACAGAATTAGACGACCTGAAAGTGAGCGATTTCCAAACGAAAACTTACATTTAAGTTGTGATTTAAACGATAAGGGATACATAGTCACAGTATAAAGAATTTACGTGAAAAAAAAATGCTCAACCCTAGCATTTTGGTTAACATCCCAAGTTTTGCTTAAAATGTGATTTTTAAGCTTTAAAAGTACGCGCTTAATGCCCTCGACCCAATAACTGATGCCCAAGTAGGGAAAATACAGGCTGGCCATAAGTTGGTCAGATTCCAGTATGGGCCGCAGAGCACAGCTATGTGGTTGCAAAGGCCTAAGCGTCGCCGTTGTTGAACAAAGTTAATCCGATTACGCCCTTGTACGTTATAACCATATCGAACAAGAAACAGATGCTACATGTAACAGCATTGAAATTCACGCACCCCCCAAAAATGGCTTTTTGAACGTTGTGTTTCTTAGAATATGTGCTCAGTATGATTGAAATGTTAAACTATTCGGTAACAGAAGAAGAAATTCTAAACTTCATGTCAATGAAAAAAATCGCCGTCATCGATGCCGAAACGTCAATGCTGGTTAGGCCTACTGGTAAAGCTGACCTTAAAGTGGGGAAGAAATCGTTCGCAAAACGTCCCAAAATTTATGTATTTATCTTAATCTCTATAGGAATCCCTCAAGTTGTTATTTCACGAACGGTTAAACACATATAACACAAGTATATTCCGAATTTTAGCTTAATCTGATGTTACAAACGCTTGTGTTACACCTTGAACTGAGGATTTTTTGCTGACCAAACTCACATGCATGTTTTCAGATTGGCCGATTTGGGGTCAACAATGCTGACGAAGCGCTTATTAGCAAATTCATTAGCGCGACTCGGCGCGACTTCGCGTGCGTCTCGGTATCGTCCAATGTAGGCCTAAGCCAGCAAAAAGGGTAATGTTTATTAATTAATAACTCGTGAAGGAGGCGATATTGCAAATGTTTACTGCACAACATAATGGATAGAAACCTTATTAATGTTCGTGAGGGAAAAGATCGACAGATATTGCAAATATTAGTGTTACAACTTTCAAAAATGCACGTAACCAGGCACATTCTTTCCAATTTCAACGAAAAGTGATGACATATATGGAAACAAACCTTGAAAGTTGTGTGGAGATACGGCCTTGCAAACGGGAGAAAAGATTTCTAAGATTTCGCCCGTTTCATTCCAAATAAAGAATTACGTAACCTTTATAAATCGTCCTTCACAACCACATGGCTGAGCATGGCAACTCAAAGAATACATGCGAAACGTATGCCGCAAATTCGTAAGTAATTACTCGACCACACACAGCTATTGCGATCACAGATTTATATAAATGTTTTAACCGAATTGATATTATTTAAGAACCAGTCAAAATAATATGTAAACAAATCCTCACTCATAGTTATCTGATTTTAGGGATTAAGTGACTTTTCCGAGAGTTTATATTTCTGTAAAGGTTACCGTACATACATTTTCATGATTGACGGCAATGTCCACAGAAATTTCCCATTTGTTTTCTGGTGTTGAAATATTTCTAAAATTGTGTATGGGAGGAAATACTTTCAAACCAGCCCAGCTCGGGGAGATGTATGCAGAAGACTCAGGCGTGGATCGGGGGAGGGGGGGTGTTCGGGGGGTCAACCCCCCCCCCCCTGCTCTGTCAAAAAAAAATACACAGAAATGTATACAAAATAATGCTCCCCCTCCCTTGGCTCTGACACCAAAAAACAATTGTACTGGTACTAATATACGCATGTGTCCAAAATACGGACAGAAAACCTTCTGGGTTACGGGGGTATTTGTACATTATAGTGTTAATTATCATCGGATTTGAGCAGCGCCTTCGCTCGTGCCCCCGCCCTGCAAACAGGACGCTGGGATACTCTGATGAGCTTCACAGAATCTTGTGAAGGAAGTGGCCTATGACCTATGTATAAAGCATCTGGCTGCAGCTGTTCAAGACCGCAGTTAGACAATGTGCGCAAATGCTATCCGAAAACTGCCCATAGAATTGTGCACATTTCATACCGGATGTGATTTCTGTTTCATCGCGGACCATGTGGACAAAATTTGAGCGTCGCATAATGCAATCCGACCGTTCGTGATTCGAAACGGAGCCTGAGCGAGTGACGAGAATTGTAAATTCACAACACAGATAAGTTTTACGGAATTTCCTACATTATAACGTTTATTAACGAGCCAAAAACATTTCTAAACTGGAATAAAAGAGTAATGACTCAGTCTTAATGGCCGTTTCAAACCTTGCAGAGTCATGACCTTGATGACGCGCAGGTCACTGGTCACGCAAAACCCAACCAATCAGAGAGTGAATTCATCAGAGTATCCCAGCGTCCCGTTTGCAGGGCGGGGGGTACGAGCGAAAGCAGCGCCCAGATTGTTACGAGCCCCCCCCCCCCACCCCCTCCCCCGCCTTTTTTTAATTTTGCGTCAGGACAAAAAACCATGTCTGTATACATTTCAGCATTGATTTGCTGATGAACCCCCCCCCCCCCCCACGCAGAAATTCCTGGATCCGCCCCTGAAAACCTAAGACGGACAAATGACAACGAATTTAAAAAAAAAAAAAGCATTTCAGCATTTGCAAGATGTTCCATTTTGTTACCTCCTGTACAAAGTAACTTTCGATCTAAAACTTCACTCTGATTAAAATCCTTTTCAAGGAAGTCAGTTGAGGTTTTAGTACAGCAGTACCGTTCAATACACACCAAATGTCAGTCACTGTACAGAGGGATTGCTTTCTTCGTTGCAAGATTTTGCATGGGGGCACTATAGGATGGCCTCGTTTTCAGTAGGGGCACCCATTAAATAATTATTGTCTGACACAAAGCTAATTTATGCCCCCCCCCCTAAATTCTGAGGGGTGTGGGTTGTATGCATGCACACAACACTCTCACCGTGTTATGCTGAATCTTGGTTAAGCATGGAATATGCATAGAATTTGCATTAAAGTTGATGACATCACAGGTGAGAGTGGCCCAAGTACAATTTACACCCTTTCACTTATTCGATTGTATTTCTGGATCTGGGGACCCAAATGGAACGGGGTAAAAAGGAATGATTGAGCAATCGTCAGGCCTTAATGTTATTATTGCATTGAAGAAAAAACATTAAATCGTTTTAATTATTTCTCTTCTGAATGTTGCACTTTTTGTGGCACACCCCGTACACTGTGAACCAAGTCACTTATTATACAATACCTTTCATTCTGCCAATAAATCGTTCATACCAACATTAAACAGTTGCCTATCATCAAAGCTCTGTCAAACTATGCGTCGCAGTGGCCTGTCATCCAAAGTAATTGTTGGCTCAGAAAACGAGGTCAGTTTCCCTGCCAGTGAATACGACCCTCGTATAATTCTCATTCAAAACAAAATACATCGCCACAATAGCGTACTTTCAGGCTCAATATTCTGAGGCAATTTTGTCAGTGTTTTTGATAAACAGATCTAATAATTTAACCCTTTAAAACTGTTGATAAAATTAGACACACATTGATACATTTACTTTCTGATTTTAATGTTTTATTCTTCCTGTCCTTTCATCTTTGCCGTAGCCCAATAATTTTTTGACTCGCCAGCCGGGCTAGGAATATTTTGACTAGCCCGCCGCTGTTTTGACTTGCATTTGGCTAGCGGGCTACCGCTAAATTCGAACCCTGAAATTTTACATTTGCGTGTTCAGTATCAGCATGGCCGTTAAACCCTTCAGGCATTTTATTAAACAAAAATCAACTCTTAGTCTTTAGAGCAAAAGAAATGTTAGGTTTATGTATTCTTTCTTGTGTAATACTGTTAGGGTGTAATGTATATTGTTTAATTAACAGATTTATAAACCCAATAACTGTGTAAAGACAATAGCAGTTTAGTATGTGAAACATTTCTAAAATTCGCAAAAGTTTGGATCTCGGGATTGTTAGTGAATATCTGGAATCTCTATAGACCTACGACTTTTGATTAAAGTGAAGATGTAACAATATATTGAAGACGAGGGGAAGATGCGGCGTTTGGATGTGTAATATACCAAATAAAATTCCCTGTTTTCACTCGCAAATTATGGCTGATTGGGCCGATTTTTCCACAGTTTAATGAAGGATGTGACAAGCATATATATGACACCAAATGTGAGCCGCCATTTGTACGATTCACCCCTTCATACTCATTTGGACAATTTTCCCATGCACTCCCTCAACTATTTCATTCACACAAAGGCTGCTGAGCATAGTACACTATTGAATCATGTTATTACACAGTGGGTGAGCCTACATGTGTGGCTTTTTCCTACTATTCGTTGGGGAAATAATAGCCCGTTGTAGCTCTTTTGTTGACATTTCCAGCAACTACAATGTTCGGCACGTTCTGCACATAAAAAATTGGGAGCCAACGCTGATGTTTGGTATAGCCGAATGTTCAGTACCACCGTTACTGAGTAACGGACTCGTCACTCGTTAGTCATTACCGCTACGATTAATTCCTCCAAGTAATTGTTCATATAAGCATGAAACACTTGCCTGTTACGAGAACTCTTTCAAACTATGCCCCCCATTTTTGCTTTCCATCCCAAGGGGAGGAGGTTCAACCATTGTTGGCTAGGCAAACGAGGTCAATTTCCTGGGCAATTAATTATTGAAAATGACCCTCGGTGTAATTGTTATTTAAAACCAGATCAAATCCCTTAAACCTCACAAAATGAAAAAAAGGGATCGTCTCTGAAGAATTTGTAATTCGTCAATGAACCATGACATTTAGCCTCTGATATTGCATACACCCATAAACTTGTAAACTTGTTTATGCCGTGGTGCAACTGAAACAAGTCTTGTGACAATTCCCCCGAACTGCATCCACAATTTCAGCGACGATCATCATGTACGCCGCCGCCGTTGTTTGCGTCCTTTTTACGGCTGTCTCGGCCAGCCAGGGCCCGCTGAACATGCCCAGTGTGCCGTGGAAGACGGAGCAGACCGACCTGCCCCATCCTGTGATTTGCTGTAGTGCTTCCGCCTACACGTATAAAGCAGGTGGGTTCTATATAGACGGATTGCATTCAGTAGCCATCTTGGAGGGGTGCCAGTGACGTAGTCGGGGAGTGGTGGGGTGCAGAATGGCAGAGCGCAACGGGCTAGCTATTATAAAAGCAAAGTGGGACGCTGATAAATTTCACGCTATAATATTTTCACAAATGAACCGATCAGTATCCAAGATTGGTTAATAGCTATAACCGTTTATCACTCAATTTACTTAAATGTAATCATTTTAAGTAACAGGAAAAAAGAAGAAAAATTCAATAAACTGAAGTTTATGTTATTGGATAACACAACTGCCAAGAAGGTAACAAATTATTCTGAGGTGTTACCATCGATGACAAATTTACTTGGAATTATCACATCGATGTAAAGTTTCTAAGAGTATTGGAGTAATCAACAGATTAAACGTGCTCCCTTTGAGGTACATTTGACAACAAAATAGAATATCTGCCTTTCAATAATTACTCCTGACCTAAACTATGGAATAATTAACCATTTTCTAGATGTTGAAGGTCATAATAATTATGTTTAAACGCAAACTTAAATTGTACCTTATGTAGTGTAATATTTAATGTGTCTCTACCTTTGGACCTTGTGTGGCGATCCTACACGTATAGTATTGTTCACAACGTCGTTTACTTCCATAGGCAGCTCATTAGGTAGACCTCCACCTTTCAATAATTTTTGATGTGAACAGGTGCGAGTGTCTTAAGTGAGGTTCTAACGCCTAGAATACTGTTCACGCGTTCTTCAAACTTAAACTTCTGAAATCACCGATATTGTACCTGAAAACTCATTTTGGTTGCGCACCATTGCGAAGCTGTATAGAGGTTGCCGGTTTGAATCCGTCCTTAGTCCAATTACTTTCTGTTCAACCACAATTTTTTAAATACTGATATTCCCCCTTGAAGCCATTTTGTGATTATTTCAGTTAGCGTGGTCTCGTCCGTGAAAGACGGGTCCCTCTCTACGGAATTCATCCATCAGCGTGGCGCCTACGATGCTGTAGCCAAGATGATCGCCGTTGAAGAGGTGTTGGGATTCACCAACGGCACCGAAGACACTGTCAAACTCATCAGCGACTTCAACAATGTACGCCTGCACTTGTTTTTGTATCATCATTTTGTCATAGCAATGGTCTCATGAACAAAGTCGTATTCAAGTTCATCAATACTGAATGACACGATTGTGTTCATGTTTCAGAGGGGATGGACAGTGACAAAATGTCTTGGCCACAGTTCATTTGAGTGGCTTGTTACTTTATTTGAGTGGCTTGAAGATTAACATGTGTTTGGTTTGTCATTGACTTGTCATTGGCTTGTCACTGACTTACCATTGACTTGTCACGACTTGTCATTGACTTGTCTTTGACTTTTTTTGACTTGTCACTGACATGTCACTGACTTGCCATTGACTTTCCACTGACTTGTCGTTGAATTGTCTTTGACTTGTCATTGACTTATCTCTGACCTGTCACTGACTTGTCATTGACTTGCCATTGATTTGCCATTGATTGCCATTGATTTTTCCTTGACTTGTCACTGACTTGTCACTGACTAATCATTTACTTTTCATTGACGTCTGATGAATAGATATTGACTAGACATTTGTTATGACTATATGACTATATATAATGACTATAACTCTAAACGAAGGTTTTATATACTTTCATTTTTTTAGTAACAATGTTCTCAATCACAATAAAACACGTGTTCACCCAGGAAGATTTGTTTTTATTTTTACTGTTCTGCAGGGGGTGGAGTATCGCATTACATCACAGAAAGGAACGATTGAATGCGAGAAAACGGACATTCCCACCCGTTTTCTGCACAACTGTCTGACAGGTATTTATCTTCGCATGTGGTGTATTTGTCATGTGATGTTTGTTCTGTTCGTTCGTCAGTCTGTTTACTCGCTCGTGTTTACTCATTCGCATTTCCTACTCGCCATCTATACACAGACGAAAAGTTCATCAATTGGGTAACTATCGGCGATCGGGCCCTGACAGCAGGCAACTGGTACAAGCTCTGGACCAATCACCCGACTGAGGATGTTCACGTGGTTTACACCTTCCAGCATCCCGAGTGCGTTGACCTCGGCTACATCAGTCGTGGGACGGACAAAGCGACAGGTATGTTGGGCTGTCAAAGAAGAAAAGTGGATTTAGACAGTACGGTGCATGGTTTAACTTTAGACCATATAGTCGAAATTTTGCAATAGGTACAAATTATTTTTATCTCTGTCTTGCAGAGGGACCCGTAGAATGTATACGGGTCCCTCATCATTTCAAATTAAATTTTCATTTTAATTCCAATGTCTATTTAGCCTATATTCAAAAACAAGTAACAAGGTATCCAAGAGGTATGACGTGAGTGATTGCCATATTCCAGACATATAGATGGGCAATAGGTGAAAGTATCTTTTTAGTCAATAACTAACTAAATATTTACTTTAATTAAACATCTGTGACTACGCCAGTTTGGGATTGACAAAGTCAGTCAGAAACCACATATTTTATATACTCAACCAAAAAAGAAAGTCCCCCCTTTCAATCCTGTTTACTCTGACTCAAAAACTGCTGAGCACCTCTCGCTCAAAAAACGACTAATCAGTAAAGAAATTCCGTAGCAATCTTTCCATACTCTTTAGGCCTACTTGGCCCAAACCAGTGATAATGTGTACGAAATTATGCAATTTATGACAAATGATACAGAAAACAGTTACACTTTTGTATACGTGAAGGTTGTGGTTCACACTCACCTGGCACGTATACAAAAGTACAACTTTTTTCAATAACATTTGTCATAAATTGCATAATTGTGTAAACATTATCACTGTTTTGGGCAAAACAAAGAGTATGGCTGGATTGCTAAGGAATTTCTGTACTGATCAGTCATAATTTGAGCAAGATATGCGGAGTAGTTTTTTAGTTTAAAAAAAGTATAAGGGGGACATTCTTTATGGGTTGAGTGTACCATCAGAGTTTTAACATGTAGAATGAGGACATCATCAGTTAATACAAACTTTAACCGTTTCAGGTGCTGAATTGTGGACTGACTTCCACACCCGTTCAGACTACAGTCTCGGCATCTGTGACCCAGACAAGTGGTTCAAACCGCCTCCAGAGTGCAAGGTGGGCTTGTGTGTAGGATGAGACTAGGTTGGCCTAAACAAGCTGCTCTCGACTGTCTCGTTATAAGACAGTCATACTCAATCTCAGTCAATTGGTTAGTGACTCAGTCATTCAGAGGGCCCAGCACATGATCTAGTTGAAAGCAGGAAGGGACAAATTCGAAAAACCTCGGTGTGCATCGATCGTGGACCAGCGGAAATTGCGGATCTGGGGGGGGGGGAGAGAAAAGAACCCATCTTCTTTTTAAGTAACGTCACAAACAAGGCAAGCACTGTGTACACCACCTTCTGTTGCTAAACGAAATGGGTTACAGTGGTCAGAAATGGCCTCAGAGCACTCCCTAGAGTAGAGCATCTAGAATCCCCCAACAAAATCTGGACCCCTTAAGCGGGCCCTGAACCCCAGGTGGTAAATTTTTCGAATCAACGCTTTTGGGGAACAACATTTGTACGCCCCCCCCCTAAGAAAATTGTGTGTTCTGGATCCGCCCTTGACCAGCGGTAGCATCTCCAGATCACTCCCTGTTGACACTAGATTTGATTTGAACCATAAACCCCTCACATTTTGAAATTTTGAGGAAAGTAAAGTTCACCACCTCCTTTTTTATCCATCCCTATCGGCTCAAAACAACAAACTTGTCAACATTGTTCAAATAACTGATCAAAAAATACAAGCAGGTTAAGTTGCTTCAAACTAATACGAAATTTAAGGCTTTTCAATGTGTCTGCGGTCATAATAAAATTGTTTGTGTACCAACCCTTGTGTGTCCCATCTTACAGGCCGTCAAGCTCCTAAAGGCGACCCCTCAGCAGTGGTTTGGCCGTCTGAGCCCTGACGGGAAACGTCCGATCTTCTGGTAGATGTCAATTCATCCTCGTCGTTGACCGAAGACAACACGAACATTTATCGAATTGAGAAAGAAACTGTTCTCATCATATAGAGAAACTCTCAATAAAAGAACATCTTAATTGGAAAGCTCTTATAGTGACTGGCGCCCTTTCTTTTTTTCGTTTTATCCTTTCAGTTTTAGATGATACCTTCTTCCCTCTTGAACATTACACATGTACTTCACATGTAAACTGAATGAGTGGTTATACATGTTCGTCGATTTGAAGGAATGATTTACAGGGGAATTCAACTGAATTAAGTTCGTAAACCGGGTTTAAAATGTGTTTCAGCCAAGTGCTCGTCATCAGCCATGGCCGTTAAACCCTTTAGCTATTTTGTTTAATCTAGTCTTTAAACAAAACCGATTACAAATTAATAATGTATTCTTTCTTGTTTTACTATTACAGTTTAATGTATAAGGTTTAGCAGATTTATATACCCAATAACCGATTAAACTGTAGAAACCCAATAACTGCCTCCGTCTTCAAGGGTAAAGACTTATGGAGACTGAAGTTTTTCTGTTGCAGCCTCTCGCCTATGGAACAGTCTGCCAAAAGCCCTGAGTTCACAACCAGACGCTGTCTCTTTCAAACTTGTCTCAAACTGTACCTCTTCATTCAAATTTATCATTTAGATCTCAGACCCCAGCGCATTGAATAGGTCTATAGATACCAGCACTTTAAAAAGTTACTATTATTATTTTTTATTATTATTGTTATTAATATGGAACATTTGTGCAAATTCACAAAACTTTTTTTAAATGGCTTTTTATTGAACAGGTGATGACATGCTTTCTGTTTGAATGTTAATGCAAGTATAGATATTGTGCCGAAAGGAGCAACTCTTTTCGATCGCATAACGGAATGGCTATACTGGAATTGTTAATATCCTTATTAACTAAAACTCTAGTTTAAACACCAATCATTTTAAAAGTGGTTGCGTTTCTACTCATAATGTACTCGATAGAGGAGATCCTACATGTACTGGGGTCATGGCGGTTTTTATATCCTTCTATCGGGACTTGGTGACAGCATGGGTAATCATTACTTTGTCTATAAACAAAATCCACTTCTCGTCTTTTACTCCAGTCTGTTTGTTGTCCTAACGTCTGAATTTTGATAGCACACGGCCACGGATATCTAACAAGTTATTGAAACTGGAACAAATCCGCTATGAAACTTTAAGCCTGGGATCGGGTTCGCGTAGTACAATTCACTCTTGAGAACAAACATGGCCGATCTTAATACGACAGTATTCTGGGGGTCCAGACCGGTATTGTGTGCGTCATGCGTCATATATTTCAAAGTTGTGCTGCGTCATGCACAAGCAAATACCTTGGGCCCAAGGACACAGCCTTGCTACCATTCCACCAGTTCGTTCCTTTTTTTTTTAGTTCTCTCTTTCCATCAATCACTGATTCAAAACGTCTGATATAATAGGTAAATTTGAACCCTGGGAATATTCTTCCGCCAGTCAGAACAGTCAGTGACGAGTCGTTTTTATCCAAAATTGAAATGTCACATCTATTTGGGTTTTTTTTTAATATTGTATTTTTTAAATTAAAATCTGACTCAAACCAGGAACACGAGGATTACAGCAGTGCAAATCATTCACTCAATATGAGCTGGTTTGTCTCCATTCTTGAGTTTTCGTACTCCTTCAATCTAACGATTTTCGCTACTAAATTGTCCTGTTCCCAACCAGCCGTGGAAGAACGAGTGAAATTTTCCTCTGATTAGAAATCATAAAATACGTCTATACCTGGTTCCGCTTAGGTAACTTTTCAGAGGCAATCTAGAGAAATTAACTTCAAGATGTATCGATTTTTGAAGACATGGGGAAGAAACGGCGTTTAGGTGCAAAGAATATAGGAAATAAATGTGTGATTGGCCGGTTTTCAACATTCTGTTTAAGACCGGTTGGAGTCTGGATGCTTATGGTTATCCAAGCCAACCAGCCAGACGGTCTTCGTTCAAGACCGGCCACGTGTTGGGCTCTCGACCAATAGGGATTGGTAAACCGTCTCAGGTGTGAATGGCCAATGAAATGGCCCAGCTTTCACACGTAAATGGTCCGATTTTTTTCACAATTTTTGATGGATGTGACAAGCATATTTTCCACTGCCAGGTCCCGTCAAACACCAGACGTGACCCGGCATTAATATTGTATACGTTCACCGCTTCACACCCATTTGGGCAATTTTCCCCTGCATTTCAGACTTCAAATACTTAATTCTCAACAGGGCACCTACACATATTCAAGGGGTTTTTTTGGGGGGGGGGGGTCGTTTATGAGAAAAGAGTGAGCTGAATCGACCAGACAGGAAAAGCAAACCCATTTCCATCGTTTTTTTTTACCTTTTTACACGGTGAATACAATTTCGGTGCGCATCACTGAGCTCCGATGCGATAAAGACCCACTCTTTCAAAAGGTGGCCTCGCGTGACAAGTCGACCAAAAACAGGTCCCTCGACAACTTTACTTTATTACAAGTACGGTCAACAGGTCCCTCGACAACTTGCGACAACTTTACTTTTTCTGTTTCGTAATCATAATCTGACCTCCTCAGACTACCGCCCAAGAGGTTAAAGGGCCCATGCAGGGTAATTTTCTTATGCAATCCTTGAAAATGCACTTGTACATGTATGTCCCATTTAACATAATTTAATTTTTGTTTTGCCATTTCAAGGGTACATTTTGGTGCCTTTTAGTTTTTATGCTCATGGCAAAGGTGTGGTGTTATTTCAGGCAGAAACGTCAATGTTACAGCTATTTCAGCACCAAAAATGTTGCCAGAATTTAGGACATTTTGCTATAAATTGTAATTTTGCTTTTGTTTTTGGTGATTCGTTGTGGTGTCAGTACATGGCAGTAACCAAAAGAGCAAATTTTTCTCGCAAAAGAAATGCTTTCAATGAGCAAATGTGTTGGTGCACAATTTGAGCAGAACACACGCCTGGCCCTAATCGGAACAGTGTCATGCTGAAATGACACCACAATACAGCGCCCTCTGTTGTGCGGAAAGCATAGACATTGTTCAAAGTTTCAACTTAAAAGTACACTTTTTCAAAAAAGTACAGTCTATTTTTTTTCTCATAAATTGTGTTACTTTTGACATCTTTGGGGGAAAAAATGAAATATGGACACAATCAGTAATAAAAGATTGAGCCTAGGGGCCAAACTTAGTACGACAGTTTCTGAGTGGGGGGGGGGGGGGGAGTTGCGGGTCTAGACCGTCATTGTGTGTGTGTGATATGCACCACAATTATATCCAAAGTTAATTGTGCTGCAGAATGTTACCAGCATCACAAGCAAGTACCCTTTCCCCAAGGACACATCCTTGCTGCCATTAAACTTCTTCTTTTTTTGGCGCCCCATCCATCACAGCTCCAAAAAGGTAAATTGTAGAGTTGAATTAGAACCCTGGGAATATTCTTGAATAGGGTTGAGACTAAATGCGGCATTGTGCCCGGTGCCTGCCGGTCATTAAAAGTTCACAAACGGTAGTAAAAGTTCATATTATTTCTGTTTCCGGGGTGGGGGGGGGGGGGCTTTATACCACTTTATTTCCAAAAACAGAGTGACAATCTGTCTAAAATTGGGAACAAGACGATTACCGTGAATTCATCCCCTCAATTCCGTGGAATTCAATTCACTACATCAGATTTCATGTTTATAACCCCCGGCCACCTAAAACTGGAGTGAATTCACTCTAAATCGTCCTGTTCCCAACCTTGTGTGGAAAGAACGAGTGAAGTTCCCTCTTTGGAAATCAGAAAATACATCATACCTGGTTCTGCATAGGTAACTTTTCAGAGGCTATCATAAGATACAATATTACGCATCACAGACATTGTGTGTGCGCTATGCAAGTGAAACTGCCGTGAGCTATTATGATTCGGATGAAGTCAACCAAAACAGACGCAGTAAACAAGATATGAAGCTATTGTGTGCCTATTGCAAAGGTAGAAACACGCTGAGAACTCCAATTTGCCACGTTGATCAATTCTCCTTTGGACATCAAATGACTTGCAGCCCCTGCTACCCCCAGACTACGATTTTTCTCACGACCCGATGCATAAACTAGTTCAAACACCCTGACGCAGGGGCGGCGGAACCGGGGGGGGGGGGGGGCTGGGGGGGGCAGATTTTCCAAGTGCCCTTTTGCGGCCATAAATGTGCCCCCTCGCCTCGAGCATAAAAGTACCCCTGCGAGAAAAAAAAATGTCCTTCGAGTATCTTTCTATTTCTTAGAAGTAACCATTTCCTAATAATGGTATAGATAGTTTTGATATAAACGAGGAATATGAAAACAAAGCCCAAAAACCCATACAATACGCCCTAAAAGGGGCACAGGAGCACATAATGCATAGTTAGCATATAATCATCATTTTTGAAGAGCGCCCCCCATGTTGGAAGATGGTACCAGCCCCCCCCCCCCCCCCCCCCCCCCCCCCCCCCCCCCCCCCCCCCCCCCCCCCCCCCCCCCCCATTCGATTTTACGGAGGCCAAGTGTCCGGTGAAAAACACGTGTCGACCTTTCAGCACGGATGTGCAAACACGACATGTATTGTCCTTATTGAGCCAACTGTTCGCAAGCCAGTGCAAAAGCACCAGGTTAGAAACAAGTTAAGCCGGCAAACACTCTTTCCCGAACTACAAGGCAAGTGGTTGTTCCTCTCATTTTTTAAAAGACAACAAAACGCGCAATTACGTAGGTTCTGAAATGTATCACTATTGTTCGACGGGGATTCATCCATCAGGATTCACAAAAGATTCACTACTCAAGAGCACATACACAGTGAAAGCATGTTCCTTTTTAATAAACAAGTTTCACTCCAAACAAAAATCAAGTCCCTTACAAAAACACCATCACTCCATAATTATTCGATGAAACCAGTTACACCTTCTACTTAAAGCAATATGAACCAGCTGAACTTGTTAAGGGGCCATCCATTTTGGTCATTATCACGAGCGTATGTAACCGTGAAAAATGACACACTTGGGGAACTCGCAATAACTAAAGACTCAGGATCTTTGAAGGGAAAAGTCGCGAGAAAAATTGAATAAATAGAGACAAGGGACACAATTCTAGATTTCAAACCAAAAACGACCAAAAAGAATTTATTTACTATTTAACAACCTTGAAACCAAAAAAAAACAGAAACTAAAAGCAAAGCAAAAAACCTAAAATCCAAAGACTAAAACCAAGTTAAAACCAACAGTGTGTAATAAGTGGATCGTAAAGAATTTATTTACAATTTAACAACCTTGAAACCAAAAAAAAACCAGAAACTAAAAGCAAAGCATAAAACCTAAAATCCAAAGACTAAAACCAAGTTAAAACCAACACAGTGTGTAATAAGTGGATCGTAAAGAATACACTCTGACAGAATATCAAATGACTCCAACAACAGATAAACTTCAAGCAGAAAAACACTCTCCGGGTAGGAGGAACATAAATGGATGATATACAAAACTTGTGTCTGCTGGTCTGGCTAAACTCAGTGAGGCTAGAACATGTGGCAGCTTATATAGGGGGAGTATGTGGGCTGAAGTAAACAAACAGGGGGACACACTACCAACAAAAAAGGGGGGATGTTAAGTAAAACTAAAATGATTTTCTTTTCTAAGGGGAACTACTCCTAGTACTAAATTCACAGTGAAATGTATTATTCTGGCTGGCATCTTTCAGAAGATAAAACCAAAAGTCCATTATAGTTTTTAAAAAGGTGTCTCCAGCGGACCCGACTTTTAAAGATTTAAATTTTACTGTATACATGTACATGTATAGTGATTCTTGGTTCGCGATAATTTTAGATTTTAATACCACAGTTTTACTTAAAACAAACTGCTGTATGGAGCTTTTTCAGAAAAATTATATTAATTTTGCCTCGGTGTAAAAAAATTATTCCATGCCCTTTAAATAATAACTGTGTTAAAATGACAGCATTAATTACAACCACAACAAATTGCATGTAGGCTACGAGTAAAAATGAATGCGATATGTAAACTAAATATGCAATCGGTGAATTGAAGCTAAACTAAAATGAGACAGTTAATATAATATATTATGCAGTATATACAGCAAATCACAACTTGATAAGAACTCGCCTCTCTCGTACCCAAACTATTCTCAAAA